CAATTCGGCGCTCACTTTATCCGTTTCCGACACTTACTGGCGCTTGGCGCTTCCTCTCGGAGCCACCCGTGACCACCCATATTGCAACCCTCTTGCACATGGCACGGTCAAGTTGAGAGATTTGAGGGTTTCTTCCATTATGGTGTGCGTTTCAGAAATGGATATACTGAAAGATAGGAACTTGGAGTTCTCAAAAGCTTTGGCTAAAGCAGGAAAAAGGGTTGAAACAGTTATTTTCAAAGGCGTAGGCCATGCCTTCCAAGTGCTGCATAATTACCAGCTTTCACATTCCCGAACCCAAGAAATGATAACCCATATCAGAAACTTCGTTAACCAGTAACTCCTGTGTTTGATTCGTGTCGTTTCCTGTTAATGTTCATGAGTTATTACAGTTTGATAGAGTTATATATAGTATAGCACAGATAGAACGGTAGTTTGAGTATCCATAGTTTCAAATTTCAAATTATGTACAGTAGATTTACTATTGTGACACTCGAAGATGAGATTGATTGGTATGCTGCAGTCTGGTTTTTGTAACTGAAAATTATCTTTTATATATGTTAAGAACTTTAAACTTAACTCCATGATTCAAGAAGTATTAGAAAATCAGTTTTAAGGTTAATTCAAAGATTGAGATTTACATCTCACTTATATATTATAATGTTGTCTTATTTTTATGGATCATCACACTTTTTTACGTCGAGGTATATCTCGTGCTTGATAATAAAAATTAGATAGTCCGATAACGAATGGAATAGAAATGTCAAAAAAACAAAAAATATCACTAGAAAAGACAATCTAATCTGATTATGATATTACGATTAATGAATTAACCTTAAACCTAAACAATCTCAGATGAAATTTACGACTCACTTATATATATTAAATTGAAAATTAATTTATAAGACTTCCATCGATATATAAGTAAACATTAAAGAAAAAAGTTAAGAAAATTGAAATAGTTTAGATAGATATGTGGTGGTGTTATTCCTTTTTGTACCATATTCTGTTACTATTGTACCTAGAGTTAAGTTGTGAGAGGTACAGGCATGAGTGAAAGAGGTGGTCCTTGTTGTGGGTTATCTTTATTCTATCTTTAGACATGGTCTTTGACCAACCATATTCTAGTGTCAATGGAGACTCTTCAGAAAGGAACAAGGGTCAGAGAACATCTTCAAATGGAATGATATATACTTTACAAGGAAGACGTAATTGTTCCACAAGGACCACTATGCAAGCAGTATGGGCATCGAGTTAAAAAAAAAAAAACTCATCTTCCAAAATTTGAAGTAATTGTACTTGTTAATGATTCCATCACAAACAATATGCTGTGATACTGTTGAAAAATTGTTCACTTTTTAAGCATGTGAATATGGTTTGATCTAGCTTTAAGTATCCCTCTATTGGAATAATAACGGTTGGGTGTAACCCTTTTATATTTATTAAATATATAATATAATATAAGATAAAATAGTTATAAAAATAAAATTTTATATTTAAAAAAAAGTAAAAAAAAAATCAAATAAATGTAAAAAATTTATTGCCAAAATATCATTTATCAAATTGGAGAGGATTGTTAGTTTTGCCTTTCAACTATAATATATAATGATGAATTTTAAGAATGTTTCCAGTTATAGAAAATACCATTATGTTTGCTATTTTTTTTTTTTGTTATTTTAAGTTGTATATATTGAACCGTGATTATTTTATAAATTCAGGATATTTTATGTTTTTTTTACTCGGTTATAAACGTAACTTTTTTATCTTTTTTCACAACACTCTCCAGAATCATTTTTCTTTCATCATTGTATTGTCACCGTGTAACAATTTGTTATTGATTCTAGTGATATTTATATTTATTTTTCATTATCATTGTTACTTTGAGAACAATGCCATTCTATTATTCTTATTGTTTTTATTGTTATTTTTTTCCTCACTTTTTCCAATCACATATGTTATTGTCACCACGATGGAATAATGAGTATAAAATGATAAATTACGACTGAGCTTAAATTTTTAAATTTGCTTTTGTAGCTGCCATTTGTGTTGTTATTAGCACAATTAAGGTGAATTTGATAAATGTGAAATGACGAATTATTTATCAAAACATCCCAAGAAAATAGAGAAAAATATTAAAGTGAAGTATTAATTCTTTTAATATACCATTTAACTAACTATATATATTATTTCTATTGTATATTAGAAGTCTCACAAGAGATAAAGCTAAATTACGTGGATTGAGTTACGCTTAAAATATTCTAATATTGTATTAAATTATTTATGCATTTTAATCTTGTGTTTGCATAATTCTTAAAAAAAAATAAAGAAACATTATATTTCAATTATTTGTAATTTTTTAAATATATTTTCTTGGATAAAGTAACTAAAATATCTTACATTTCAGTTTTCTTATTTAATAAAGTAATTAAATTGTTTTAGATAAAAAGAATTACTTTAAAACTATGTATTCTAAAATTAATTTTTTTAAAAAGATTATTTAAATTCAAATATTAAAATAACATTTAACAATTTAATATTTTTCAATATGTATATGTATATAATTAAGGTGTGTAGAGAATATAGTTATCAACTTAATACATACACAGTTTGGTTTTGATATGTGTGGGTCGAACTCAAAAGAAAACTTAGAGATCCTAAAACTCCACATAAAAAGAATTTCACGTAGTAAAAATAATAACAAAAGCCTCATGAGTCAAAACTAACTCATGTGTGGTTTATGCAAGTTGATTTTAGATCAAGATAGAAAATGTTGGGTTAGACTAGGTTAAATAGGTTGTCCAAGTTAAATTTATGTTAGGTTGTGTTTAGATCAAGTTAAGTTTCATATAGTTTAAGTCGAGTTAAATACATCTCATACTAAATTGAGTTATCCCAAATCAAAGATCGAGATAAATCAATATAAATCGAAGGTCAAAATAAGTTAGTTTAGACTAAAGGTCGGGCCGAGTTAGCCCAAGATTGAAGGGTGATCCAAGTTAGTCGAGTTGAAGAATTAAGTCGGATCCGATCGAAGGTAAAGTGGAGTCGACACAGGTAGAAAGTTAAATCGAGCTAAAGATTAAGCCAAACTACCTAGGGCCAAAAGGGTTGAAGGTTGAATTGAGTAAACTCAATTTAAAAGTTAAGTTGAGTTCAGCTGATTGAAAGTCAAGTTAAGTCGCTCCACCCAAAAATAAAGTTGAGTCAACTTAGGCTAAATGTTGACTTGAGTCGGCATAAGTGAAGATTGACTAAACTTGACCTAGTAAAATGTCAACTCGACTAAGTTAGGTTGAAAAATCAACTTGATTCAATACAAGTCAAATGTTGAGTTAAGTGAATGCAAATTATTGATTTGAGTTATCTAAATATTAAGTTGAGTTAGTTTAAAACGAAGTCTGAACCAAATCAATTAAGGTCAAAGCGAGTCTGCCCTCAAAGGTTCGACTTGAATCATTATGGATCAATGAGTAAAGTCAAGTTATCTCAAGATAAAATGCTTTATCTTTGTTTGATCTACAATGTTTGAACCTTCAACTAATAAAATAAGAACTTACTTAAAAATGAGTTGGGACTAACTCATAACACGAGGTAAATTGACATCTAATAAAGAAAAACTCATTAATTAAAACAATTCAATTTTTTATTTAATTTAAAATTTTATTATTTTAAACCTCTTTTTAGGTTCCTCGTTCAAACTAATAATTTTTACTTCAAAAATTTTAAAATTTCAAATTCACTAAGTAAACGAATTACTCTCCCTTATTCAAACATTTTATTATTATGTAAAAAAAATCATTCTTAAGTTTCTTTTAGGTTTCTCAAACATTTAAACCACCTCGTAATACACTTACCCGTTCCATATTTTTTTGTTGTCATCAAATTCTCATATTTGTTGCAATATTTACCAGCATTATTATAGTTAATGTCACTGTTTCATCTTTATCATTATCATATTAATAAAATAACAATGATCATTATTATTGTCATCACTATTATTTATTTATTACTATTATTATTATTATTATTTTATTATTAGTGTCATTACTATATTATTATTATCATTATTCATTTTAATTATCTTTTGTATTATTGTATATTTTTATTACCATTAGTATTATTATCATCATAAAATGAAAAATGTTCATTTTTGTATTATATGTTGAACTCAAATAAAAGTCATGTGAATTAGAAATAATGAGACAAAACTTTTAATAATTACAAGAATTATGTTAATGTTAAACTCCTTATAGCAAGTCCATGGTGGTGAAATTTATTAGTGACTTGGTCGTATGTGTGACAATATATCTTAATATACTCTGAGATTCTTAGGATGCGGTCTTTGAGAAAATAAAATTAAAAAAGATATATAAATACATGAATGCAAGGAAAACGTGAATGACATATGATATATTTAAAACTTTAGGCATACAATTTCAATTGTCTTAAATTGAGTGGTATAAAGAGACCAATACTCTCCTACTATAATTTTTGAATATAGGATTATCAAAGCACTTTTAAAGTTAAATAATTCTAAATTTTTTTAATAAAAAACTTATAATCTTTTACAAGGATTAAGATTAACAAATAGATTTAAATTTAACTTAACTCACAAAATCCGATTTATGAGATATATATATATATATATATATATTATAAATTAATTTTATTTTTGGTCGTGAAAATTCTAACAAAAATATAAATGAAATAAAATAACTAATGAAATTGGTTCGTGTTTAGTTTAGGTAAGTAAATATGTAATTAAACAATTTTTACAACATTTAAAAAAAAGAAAAGACTTTTAATTTTGAGTGAAAAGAACCGGCTCTTAAATTTGTAATTTAAGTTAGGGTGATGTTAGATATTTGATAAAACGCAAATTTTACTAAACAAATACAGAAAAGGTTAATAAAAAAAATTTCAATTAAACTATTTTATTTTCAACTTTTGTATAGAGAAATTCTCTCAAATGTGATGACTTGTAATTTATTTGACATTTACACTCCCAGACCATCTTGCCGGATCCAGGCAAAAGTCCCCGAACGATCTTCTAATCAAAACATTCTCGTTATACACTCTGCATTGCAGCAAAGCAGAAAAGCTCGATTTACATGGCGAAGCAATACACGGCGGCGGCGCCAGCAGCGCCGCTGTCACGATTCGGGGTGCTGGTTGCGCAACTCGAATCTATAGTGGCATCTGCCGTTCACAAATCACCGCAGCCACTTCTTTGCTTCGATCTCCTCTCCGATCTCATCAACGCCATCGACGAGGACACTAAGGTCTCTCTCTCTCTCTCTCTCTCTCTTTAAACTTTCCATTGCATTGCTGTGGATTTGTTTTTTCTTCTTCTTCGCTCGTTCGTTTTTCTGCATTATTTCACTAGTTCGATATTTGTTGATTTAAAACTCCGCTGATTCACTGTTTTTTCCTTACGTAATTTCGATTCATTCACAGTTTTTCCTCTCGAATCTATATCTCCAGTAGATTAAGTTGAGATTTAGAATTCTGAGGGATATGCATTTGCACGTGTCAGTTCGGATAAGCCGTTCCTGCTTTTTTCTTTCGCGCTATCATGGTGTGATGAGCTGACTTAGCTATAGTTTAAAATTCAATGCATGCTGCATAGAACGCTGAGAGCAAGCTAAGAATAAGATCATGGTTAAGATACGACTCTTGTTGCCTTTTCAGAACGAACTCTTGTTTATATACTGGAGCTCTGTAATTATTACGAGGTTTAATGTTATTCTTTTGGTTTTTGGCGCTTTTTTTTAGCCTGAATTCCCGAAACTAGATCAGCGGTGATTGTCAAATTCTAATGTTTTAGAATATGGTTTCCAGGAGAATATTTTGTTGTGGCAAAGAAGATGTGAGGATGCTTTGTATTCCCTGCTTGTTTTTGGTGCACGACGGCCGGTGCGTCACTTGGCATCGGTAGCGATGGCAAAGGTCATATCTAAGGGAGATTCAATATCAATTTACTCCAGAGCAAGCAGCCTTCAGGGCTTCCTTTCAGATGGGAAGAGGAATGAACCTCAGAAAATTGCTGGTTTGTCTAGATTTAAGATTTCTGGAAGTTTTAGATAGATCTTGGATTCCCAAATATTTTTATAATCATCATACTGCAAAACTTGTGTAGTTAAATTGTTGTGTCTTTCCTTTGAAGTAGTCACGAGCACAAACATAAAAAAGAAGCAATGAGCGCATTTCTATTCCATAACAATTTTAGGGGAAAGACACACCCTTAAGGATTCTATCGTGGCACTTCAATTACAAACTAAAGGGCTATATAACTTATACATTGCCTCAAAATTTGTTGTGCCATTTTTTATTACAACCTTTAGGACAAAGCAAGTAACTATACATCTAAAACCTGATCTAAAGTACAAGGATACACACAATGTTTCCTATGAACTCCAAAAGGTTGTTCCAAATTAAATTACCCTCCTTACATTGCAAAGGTAATTAGCCTTATCCTGGAGAAGCTATGAGAATAGCATTAGGGAGAAGCCATGAATACAATGATATTTGTGAGAAAATGTTCGAGCAAGGAGACACTCAACCAGTCACATCACCATAATGTTTTGGCCTATTTTTTATTTTTGTTAAAATAAGAAATTCATTAAGATGAAAAAAATAGGCCGCTTCCTTGTTGTTAGAAGCTTTAAAATAAGTCACCATAAACTGTTGGAAATTAAAGAGAAATAATAAAGTTATGGGGAAGATGTGACATTTCCATAAATCAAGGAAAATAAGGAGCAAGAAGAAGAACATTGCTCCCATGTATTCATCTTCTTCCATACTCCTGACTAATCTTAGGACATTTAAAAGAAAGAAAGAAAATGAAATGTAGCAGTCCTTGCCAAATATAATAAGGAAACTCCCTGTTTTTATTCTGGATTTATGTTGGATCTTGTCAATTTGGATTTTAACCTGGGAGAGATACTCTAAATATATGTTCCTTTTAGCCAAAAAGACATTATTGAGAGATAGGGAGAAGTACAAGTATGAAAGGTGATAATTGTCTTCCCTAGATAAAACAATATTTAACTTTTTGCCACTAAGTCGCAAGGCCAGAACATTACAGTTTCCGCAAGTAAAAAGGGGAGCTTTTTGTATCTCAAATTCTATGAATAAACCAAGCAGAGTGCCTCAAAACAGGGCATTAAAGCAAGCTTATCACAAAGCAAGCCAGTAAGGAATTTATGGACTGAACGAACAATCTTAGCATAAGTGGCTATCAATTTTATTTGTAGGTGTCCTTTTGATTGTTTTTGGCATCAAATCAGTTGACTCTCACGCTTCATAGTTGTGTTAATTTTTGTGTTGCATGTTTTTTCTGGAGTGTTATGGTCTTGTTCTTGTTTCTTGCATTTAACTATTCAGATCTTGTCACTTTTCTTTTGTTTTTACTTCTCATATTTTTTCTGAACATAATTTTATAGGTGCTTCACAATGCTTGGGAGAATTGTATAAGTACTTTGGCAGAAGAATCACTTCAGGTTTACTCGAAACAACTATCATAGCAACTAAACTTATGAAGTTCAACGAGGTATTTCCTTACGAAGTTTATGTTCATATGTTTAAATTTCTAATAACTGAATGATATGCAAAGCATAGATAAAAAATTGTCTTGGTTTATGCATGCCTGTTTTTTTATGCCTAAGAAAAAAGTATAAATTTGTGATCCTTGCAGTACCTTTAATACTATTTTCTTTTTGATTCTTTTTCTTATTTACATTGAAAGTTTGTTACTTGATTTACTTTTAACATGTTTTGAAATACCGGTAAAGAAACTGTTGAGTGAAAAGATACAATTTTATTGGGCAGTAACCATTAGAAGTTTTGACCTGAGGTTGCAGGAAATGTGTTTAACATCACCAGAAGACTTTATCAAACTAATGAAATTTACTTGATCACACCTGTATATGATATTGTACTAAAATTGCTGAATAAGAATAAGAAAATGAAAAGAGGGGAACAAATAAACGATGTGTCTGTAGTTACATCTTGTTTAGATGTGGGCATATGGCACAGAAGTGTGGAGCAAAAAGGTTGATCACATATTAGAAAGTGAATAAGAGAGTGATTATAGTTGTTAAGTTCTTTAGGAAAGAATAAGGGAATCTTAAAGCTTGTAAATACTTTCAATAAACTACTATTTAAGAATGTCAACTTTTAGTCTGATAGATAAAATCAATTTCATTAATGATTAAACAAAAACACTGAAATTCCTTCTAAGTAGAACTTGAGCTTTTCTTAGTTGTATCATCACTCTCTTTCTCTCAATTTGACGAAGTGCCTTTATTTGTCTCACTTTTCTTCATCTATTGCATTTGTCATTTCTGCATCATTTCTCAATCGTCACTTGAGAAAGGTATTTGTTCTATTACAATTGACTGTGCTCTCTTTAATGAATTTGCTATGTATCAAAGGAGTTTGTTAGACAAGAAGCATTATATATGCTTCGGAATGCCTTAGAAGGCTCTGGTGGTAGTGCTGCTTCAACAGCATATTCAGAGGCATTTCGTCTCATAATGAGATCTGCCACTGGGGATAAGTCATTTGCTGTGAGAATAGCTGCGGCAAGATGTTTGAAGGCATTTGCTAGCATTGGAGGTCCAGGCTTAGGTGTAACAGAACTCGACAATTCAGCCTCTTACTGTGTCAAGGCAGGTATTTTTGTCTCAATTTTGTCTCTTTCACCTGTAAATGTGCCAATTGCTTGGTGCAAAATTATAGTATTCTATACATTTCTTTGTTACTTCTACTTTTGATAGGCACTTGAAGATCCTATATCATCTGTCCGGGATGCCTTTGCTGAAACTTTGGGTTCCTTGCTTGCTCTTGGAATGAATCCTGAAGCACAGGTCTCTATTATTGTATTTCTCTGGTTTTTCCTTGGTTTTGCATTATTCATACTTTCCCTTCAAAATTTTCTAGGTTCAACCAAAGGGAAAGGGTCCTTTACATCAAGCAAAAAAACTAGAAGGTGGATTGCAGAAGCATTTGATTTTGGTCTTTACAAAAGGTTTGATGCTCTGTTAAATGACTGTATTTTTTTTTATCAAGATGGTGCAAAAATACCATGATTTTAGGCGGTTTGCCTCTAATCTTTTTCAGATGTGCTTGAACCTGAGCAAAAAACTCAGAAAATCTTTATAAAAAAAGAGAATTGTAGCTTTTGAAAGAAAAAGTAATTTAACTAGTTTTTAAAAGTATGCTGCATGGGTTAAGAGGCTGTAGCTCAATTTGTTAAGCGTCGGTTGTTGTCAACTCCATACACATGTTCAATTCCTTCAAATAAAATAGTTGCATATGTTATCTTTTTCTATCTCATCCTGAACTAATTCGCGAGACATTGAAACAAATTGTTTCGTTTAAATGTAATTTTAAGCTAAAACATCCAAACAACTTTTACTTTATTTAAAATTCTCATTTTTTTACTTTAACTTTAAAGTAACTTTTAGGCCGTAAAATTCTGGGCCAAATCTACATCTCTGTACTCTGTTCTCTCTCTGCCTCACTTTCTCTTATTTTCCCACACTTCTATGATTTTCTTCCATTTTGGCCGATTTCTAACAGTATTTGATGAAATGCATTGAATGCTGGTATTTCTTTTTGATCATTGGAGGTAAAATAAATGATTGCAAGTGAGTTCTAGGATGACAGGAAGCAATACTCAGAACTTCCGTTATGGAATTGCAAAAAAGGGATTTTGCCCATTACCCAGCTAATTGGGCCTTGCTCTTTCTGGTCATTGCTAGTCTGAAAGGAGAGGGTGAATGGATATTGCTTTTAATGTTAGTTGAATATGAACACAGATTCGTTTCAAAAGGGCTGCAGATTGTTTTATTTTTATTTTCCCACATCTTCTGTATTTCAACTGAGTATTATTTTTCTTTGTATGTGCTGGTTAAATTTATACCCTGCAGATTGCTGCCTTTTGATTGAAATATATTAATAGAAGTTATAAACCCAAAGTAAAGAATGGAGTTCATGCCTTGTTTATAAATTCTGAATTCATGTAAAAGTTACAAATTTACAACTGTCTTATTTTTATATTTTCAGCTTTCATTTTTACTTCACATTGTTTGTGAGCATGTGATGACTTTTTTACTTCCATTGCAGTTAGTGGAGTGAAGTCTAGGAATGTTCGGGTTGGGTTAACATTAGCATGGGTATACTTCTTACAGGTAAATCACATTTCTTTGATAGATGTTCAGCTTGCAGTTTATTTAAAGGCATTCTTGTGGATATTGGCAGATTGGTTATTTTCTCAGAACATTGAACCCTGTATTGTTTTCTGTTTTAGTAATAGGGACACTTATTTTATTCTGCTGTTTTTAAGGTTTAGCTAGTACTGAGTTTGTTTACTTAGTGAAACCTTTTCTTTTTACTGTCTTTATTTCTTAGTTTTGGTTTGCTACTTTGTTTTTCTTTTATGGAACACTTACTGTTTTTCATCCTTTTCTATAATATAAGTTTTCTTTTTCCTCTGATAAACAGTGCTTTTATCCAGACACTTTAATTCAAGTCACCTTAACACATCAAGGTTGGGAAGCAAATTGGAAATGAATTGAAAAATTCACTTTGTACTCACTTTTCTGTTGTGTGGTTGATATGACTGAAAAACTTTTGATTTTCTGTATTGATCTTTTATTTATATTCTTTTTACATACGCGTAGATTGTCCCCTTTAGTAGTTTGGCAGCAGCTACACGAGAATATTAAAGTGCATTTTTACTTGTTCTGATTGTGAACACTACTCTGGTAATTTTACTTTGCAGGTCATTCGCATAAAGTATCTGCTTCCTGACAGTGAGCTCCAAAATTTTGCACTGCAAGTTATGGAAATGCTCCGTGCTGAAACTTCTGTTGATGCCCATGCCTTGGTATTTTTTTTTTTTTTAATTTCCTTTTGCTTTTAGTTAATTTTGTTTGTGTATTCATTAAGATAGACAAATGGAAATAGGAGGAGAAAGAAAATAATGCCACTAATTTTTTTTTTTTCAATTTTACTGTTTATTTAGGCCCTGTTTGGATTTTAGAAGAATTATTTAGACAAGGAGAAACTATAAGAGAAATACAAAGGTGACAAATGATGATAACTTAAAAAATTATAAAAAGGAGAAGGCAAAGAGGAAGAAGGATCCATGGAATGGGAATTTGGCAGTGGAGGATTTGAGTCACTAGGATCTGTAGGCAAGGATGGAGTTATTTGTGCTCCATTCTGGTATGTTAGAAGAGGTGGTGGAACAATATTGTCTCCATTTTGAGTTGGAGTATGAGAGGAAGTAGAAATAATCAATGGATCACAAGATGATACACGAAGAACTTAATGAACAGATGAATAATGTTTCATAGAGGACATGAAGAAAGATGTGTCCTCAAAGAAAGTAACATCAACAAACATATAATACCTATAGTTGAGAGAGAATAGCATTTATACCCTTTCTAAATGCGAGAGTAGCTAAAAAAGATACACTTTATAGCCTTTGCAAAAAGCTTGTCAAGACCTTGATGGGTTGCATCTGATGCTACTGGTTTGCGAACTAGCCTTTTGCTTCTTTCTTCTAAACTAGGTTTAGGGTTTGTAATATTTTCAACATTTTAAACTGTTGAGAAGAATTTCTAATTCTTGTCTCAGGCATGTGTTCTTTATGTGCTTCGTGTTGCTGTAACTGATCAAATGACTGAACCTACTCAAAGGAGCTTTTTGGTTTTTTTGGGAAAGCAGGTACAATTTGTTTAAAGTAAATTAGTATTTGCCATATGTTTTTCAAGTTAAGTATTCAGCTACGATATCTTCTTAATGATGTGGAATCTAATGCCTTTTTCCCACCTTTTGGCAAAATTATAGCTCCAGTCACCCGAGGCAGGTCCTTCCATGAAAGTGGCAGCCTTGCGTACACTGTCTTATACTCTAAAGACAGTGGGAGAGGTAAGAAGTGCCAGCTTATGTTTCAATTTGCTAATGAAATCTACATTTTTTTAACCAGGAACTACGATGGACTGGGATGTCTCAAGGTGTGCTTATTTTAGTTATTCCCTGTGCAGGTTCCATTTGAATTTAAGGAAATTCTTGACAACACTGTAGTTGCAGCTGTGTCACATTCTTCAAAACTAGTGAGCTCATGAAAGCATATTTTATATAGATACAATTTATTATTCTCATACATTAATATCCTTGCTCATGTTGGATTCAAGACTAATTTTAAGTTTAACACATGATATTGTTCTTTGGGGTGAAATGAAATAATTGAAAATATAAATGATTTGGCCTTGTAAATAGTTTCTTCTGGGAAAATGTGAAAGGAAGCAATATGGTTAACATTCAGTTAGGATGGCTGTTTGTGGAGAAGAAAATGATTCCTTTTGGAGTTTTTAACATTATTATTTGAAGGTTTTCAGTGTTTGGTTACTGAGATAGGACGGTATAGGATCCTGTCATGTCATAAGTTCTTTCGTGTGCCAATAGGATATGGTTAACCTTGTATCATGTCGTCCCAATGTAATTTGTTTTGGTGGGTAGAAGGGGGTTGCTGGGGTATGGTACAACAAGATTAGATAATGTCTCTCACTAAAATATGAAAAAATATATAAATATATGAATTGTGTGTTTAATATAATAATATATGTTCAACATCTTACATAATATTTATGTACAACACGTGCTCACGCACACACACCATATATATATATATATATATATATATATATATATATATATTTCATTATATTAAATAGAGATAATATATGATTTGATGTGGAATATTTTATCAAGTATCTCTAATTATTAGATATTGATTTTGTTCTTTACTATTGTATTTCTTCTTCATTATAGATAAGAATTTTCATGTGGGTACTCAAGACATGAAAGTTATTATGTTCTTTCTTGGTTTTTGGTTCTCAGCATGGTACCAGAGTGGTAACATCCTACGTAGAACTATCCAAATGGGCCTGCCCCGATTGGCTTGTCCAAAAAGACAAGCTAGATTATGTCAAAAATAGTGGATTTCTTTTTGCACCTCCAAAAAATACAGCATGGTTATGTTGTTTTGGCATTTATTTCTTGTCTTTCATATCAGTTCTAAATTTGCAAATTCTCAGGTTCGAATTGAGGCTGCTTTGGCTTTACGTACATTGGCTGAAGTCGATCCCACTTGTGTTGGTGGTTTAACTTCATATGGGGTGACCAATCTTACTGCTTTAAGAGAGAGCGTTTCTTTTGAAAAGGTAAAGTTTGTCAAATTTTACATAATCTATATTTTATTGCATGTTTTGTAGTTGTTAATTTTTTTTATTAAAGGTATGTGAAGATAGTACAACACTAAAGGATGAGAAATCTCCATAGCTTATTCACAAATGTGATAGATAGTGTTGAATATAGTGAAAATTATATATGGGATTAATCTCCCTTGTGTTAAATACACACATAGGGTTCTCTATTTATAATAGAAGAAATATGGGCTAAGCCCAAAATACAAATAAGAAATAATAACAAACTAACTAAAAGATAAAAGATAAAGATAAAAGATATAATATATCTAACACTCCCCTTCAAGCTGTGCATACAAATCGTATGTATAAAAGCTTGTTACTAATATAATCCATAAAGACTTAGTGAAAATATCTACTTCTACACTCGAGAGACACCAAATTGCTAATGATTTGCAAGACGACATAGAAGACGAAATACCAACCCAAAGATTCCCCTGAGCAACAAATCTGGGAGGTTGCTCCATGTAAATCTCTTCTTGCAAATCACCGTTGAAGAATGTCACCAGTGGATAAAGATGTAATTGTTGAAGAGCCACCATGACTATAAATAAACTAACAAGAACCATCTTTTCCATGGGAAAAAAGCATATATAGACGGGTCAAACACAATGGTGACAAAAAAATGAGGTCAGAAGAGACACCAGCGGAAGAAGCCATGGATGAATAAGAGAGAGAAACCATAAAAAATCCAAAATTCTCCAATCATGACTCCTTAAAAAGGAAAAAGAGCATCCTCGATGTTCTAAACAACTACCAAACATGCCACAATGCACGACGAAAAAGGGAGCAAATCCATAACTTTAAAAGGAACTCCGATGAAGGTGTCGTTAAAGGCATGGTAGTCGCCTGGTCGAGACGATGAAAATAATGTGATCATCAGTCGAAACTAGAACTCCGGTAGTGATAGTGGTAGAAGATGGCACCGCCGGCGGCAGTAGATGGCGCCGCCGCCGGCAGCGACGGATGTAGTGGCAGAGGCACCAGAAACTTTTTTCTCAAAAAAGAACCTTAAGCTCTGATACCATGTTGAATATAGTGAAAATTATATATGGGATTAATCTCCCTTGTGTTAAATACACACATAGGGTTCTCTATTTATAATAGAAGAAATATGGGTTAAGCCCAAAATACAAATAAGAAATAATAACAAACTAACTAAAAGATAAAAGATAAAGATAAAAGATATAATATATCTAACAGATAGAAAAGACAGGTGAAGATTGATAAGTAATTTAGTCAGGCAGCTTACTGGAGTCTGTTTTTTATTAATAAAGATTCTGTTTGGATAAACTTTTTCACAAACACTCATAGGGGAAGATAATAAGAAAAATGAACTAAAATTTTCCATAAGCTAAAATTAGCTAAGGTATAAGGTTATTTTTTATTTTTTTATTTTTACCTAAAAGCAAGTATGTAGTAGCATCACTATGCTATATGCAATCCCAACTAGGTTGGCATCACTGACAACATCAATCGCCTGCCCTCCAATTGTCAATCTGACAGCTATGTAATAGTTAGTTTGGAGAGGTATGTCTTTTCAACAGATGTGTTCCAGAGCTAATACAGCTTTATTTTGGCCTGTTATGCACATGTCTAGTACGAAGTTCTTGTAAAATTTTTGTTTGCCTGTTCATTTTAAAGGTTCTGATAAAAGTAAAGTGGCAATGTGCACTTTACGTTAAGTGGAATGGCCACTTCTCCAAGGGCGTCTGGGTGCATGTGCATGGGTTAGAGAATTAGATGGTGTTGTGGAAACATGAATAACATTCTATGCAAATGGTTTATATGTATTAAGGTATAATAATAATAATAATTTAATCATATTATTAAGGTATAATAATAATAATAATTTAATCATATTTCTAGTTGACGTGGGATCTCTAATGATAGGGATTATACATAAAATACTTTTGTTGATTTATTTGCAGAGAGTTATAAAAAATCTATCTTCAACTAGTGACTGTCATAAAATTTAATTTTATGAATTGACGAAGTGCCTTATTTTCAGGGAAGCAATTTGCAGTTTGAGCTCGATTCTTTCCATGGGCAGGCTGCTGTCTTGGCAGCTTTAGTCTCTATTTCACCAAAATTACCTCTTGGTTATCCAGCCAGGTAAGTTTCTTCCCTCCCTCATTAATTAATTTTATATTTTTATTTATTTATTATTTTTTACCTGGATAAGTTACATTTATTTCTACACCAAATGTATGAATTGCTTTCCGGTATGCAAATTTTTGTGCCTAAGCTTTGAATTTGGAGGTGCTCAGTTTTTGCTTTGGTTGTAATTTATATAAAGGTCTTATGAAATAGAAGTTGATTAACACTTACTTTATTTGGATGAAGTGTGAAATGATTTGAAGATTAGAAAGAAATCAAATTTGTATCATAAAAGAATCAGAAATGATTCATGGACTTGTACTTTATATAATGGCTATATGGTACATTATATAAATGTCAGTTCTTTTGTTTAGTTGTCTTCCATGAAAGGGCATCAAGGGTTGCCAATTCTTTTTTACTGAGTAACTCTTCTGGCTTTATTCTTTGACACATATTAAAGCTTCTCACTTTGTAAGCGCGTAATTTAATTTTTATTCTTAGTTTCATTGTGGAGCTAGATAATACCCGTTTGTGTAGTATGCCATAGGTGCATTTTGGCATTTCATTAGACTGTAACCGGTCCCTTAATGAAAACTGTTAGCCAGTATGTTAGTGCTAGATTAGTTATCTTTTAGGAAGTATAGCAACTATAGATATCAATACATAGAAGATGTATTGAGTGAGAGGGATAGATATTGACCATTAGACCAGAACGTTCAAGATCAAAATATAATATTGTTGAGTATAGTTCCACATTAGTTCTCAAGATTGAATGGTTGGGAATTTTAGTTCCCAAGAATTTAAAAATACTCGGATAAACCCATACTTTCTTTACAAGTAGAAATTAATTTTTTGATTATTTTCCACAGTAGTTTTGCACAGAAAAGGACTAAAGTGAATTGTGTTTTTAAATCAGGGATTAACGATTTTTTTTTTGAAATCTCGTGGACTAATGGAAGGATTTTAAACTCTCAAAGGACTAAATTGTTTGACACATTACAATCGGGATGATTAAGTTGGGGTTGATCGTAAAATTTTCCTAGTGTTTTTTAAAAACTCACTTAACATCTTGTAAGTTATGTGATTTTAAATATTTTTTAATCTCAATTAATTATGTAATACCAACATTTACCCCCTCATACTCATTGTCATAAAACAATTTTCTTATTTTATATATATATATATATATATCACTTCATATATATAATTAAATTTGATATAAGCTGGTTGCTATAAACATTTCTAACTAACTAACTCTAATGGATTGCCAAACACAAAAGGACATGTTTCATACAAAACACTAATATTTAATGACCAAGGATCATCATTTAATAAATTTAATGCTTTCTTGATTTGCTGCTCTAATTAATAATATTGTGCAATGACCAGGCTTCCTGGATTAGTGTTTGGGGTTTCAAAGAAAATGCTTACAGAACAAAGTCGCAACTCGGTGGCAGCCACAGTTGAAAAAGAAGCTGGATGGTTGCTTTTATCTTCATTATTGGCTTCTATACCAAAGGAGGTTTGGAGTTATTGATAGTTTGGTTTTTTCTAAAGCTATGTCTTTTGTGTAAAATAAAGGAAAACATGTGTAAATGTTTGTTATCATCATTATAGAAAATAAACCATAGTATTTTATAAGAACATTAAGGAGAATAATCAGGACTTCAAGGTAGCACGTCTAAGTGACTTCCTTCAGAATAATTAATATTATGAAGCCCATATCCATTTTCAGATTTTCTTTAGCTTTCTAACCTTTTGAAAATTTATAACACGAAACTCTACATGTTTTCATAAGACTTTTTTTAAGATGATTTAAACTAAATTCTGATGCCATGGAGTTTTTGGTTGCTTGCAGGAGCTTGAAGAGGATGTTTTTGATATTCTTGCCTTATGGGCTACTCTGTTTTCCGAGAGTCCAGAAAATGAAATTAAGAAAACTGTTGATTTATTGTCAAGGATTTAGTAAGTACATCTTAACATTATCCCGTATCTTTACCTTTTCTTATTAATTGAATTTTTCATCCCTCTTGTTTGTTATTTGATTCTCTAAAACACAGAGATCAGTATTTATAGTGTACAGAAGTGTTATACAGTTACCAAATACTTGCAATAGATGGCACATCTAGAAGTAACGAACACTACTAAGATGGAAAATATCTAAAAAAGTTTTACAATTTCAATGCATACAACTATAGCATGCATCTAATCAATGAAAATTGTGTGAAGAGCTGTCAGACTTGTAATTCTCTACGGGAATGAATGCTTGATAGGCCAGCTCCAACAAGGACAAAATATTATGTGTAGGGAGGATATGATTAAACAGGTTTAGGAGTAGACAAGAGTATAGGACACAAAAGGAAAACAAAGGAGGAATGTACCCGATGAAAAATATGAGATTGAGAACAGATGTATTTGCTAGAAAGTTAAAAAGGAAAGTATTGTGGAGGGTGGAGAATCTCTCCTATGGAGTTTTATTCTTGTGACATGAGATCAATGGAGGTTCTGAATGTCTGATCATGGTTGGTAGAGAAGAATTTAACTAATAGTATAACTGAAATCACTTGGTGGAGTGTAATGCTGTTGATCTTTTGTTCTTTTGACCCATACAGTGGGATGAAACTTTATTAGTCTTATTGATGTCATATTGTTTTAAAACTTTCTATGGAGCATGTGGCCTGACTTCCTCCTTGAATGCTCCATCGCTTTCCAAATCACTGCCCTTGAAAATCTTTGTAGTCAATACCATTAACAGCAATGATAAAATTTGGTGTAGTTTCAAAAATCTTATAGTTAAAACAATTTATGCAACTTTTGACATTTTATTTATTTTCTGTGTTGATATTGTAAGCTGTGTTTGGCAGTGCATTTGTCATTCATTATTTTCTCTTGTATCTTGTAGCGTATGGTCTGCAGCTATTCATGCACTCACTGCATTCATTAAATGCTTCATATCTCCTAATTCTGTAAACGGTGGCGTTCTACTTCAACCGGTTCTTGTATACCTTAGTAGGTATAACTTTCTTTCTTATATACTGCTCCTTTTCATGTGTGGCTGAGTCTTCGATTTCATTTTACATTTTGTATCAAATCCTAATCTATGTTGAAAGCAGTGCATTGTCGATGATATCAGCATTAAGAGCCAAGGAAGTGTCATATGCAAAACCTGCAGTGGACGTATTTGTTATCAGAACTTTAATAGCATACCAATCTCTTCCTGATCCTGTCTCATTTAAAAATGACCATCCTCAGATAATCCAACTATGTACATATCCGTTCAGGTAGTGTTTGCTCTCTTTATTTTATGTATACTTTAATTTGGCCTTATTAGTAATCCATGTTAAGGTGCTTTGTGTTTTGTGCTAGACCTAGTTCTTACATGTATCGTTTTGAATTCTCTTCTTTTCCCTCTCATACATTGTAACTGATGTATCCCATGCTATTATAAATATGAAAAGCTAAGAGAGGGCAATGCATTCTTAAATTCATTCTAGTATTCTTGTGTATCTTTCTCAAGTTGGTATTAGGGTTGATCCCGCTTTGTTGGTCTCTATCTTGTCTTTGTTTGGGAAAAAAATTGTCTATCAGTCATTGTCCGTGTTGTTTGTTGTTATTTGTAGCCGTCCGTTGTCATCCATTGTCGATTTTTTGTTCTTTGACACTTTGGTCCAATGTGCCTTGAGGAGTGTGACCCAACTCAAGTAAGTTCACATCCAAACTCTAATTGACCGGCCATCAAGTATGGTCCAAACGCCACACTGCACTAGGCATGTGTGTCTCATGTCATCTTCTAGTGGTCGAAATCTTCCTGGACCACCATGGTCTGACTTTGTTTGAGCCTGGTTCCACCCTTTGTACTTTGTTTCAAGAGCATTTGGTGTGTCTTCTAGTGTTGATCACAATTTCTCTCACTTGAAACCCTAGGTTTCCCTGTTTCATTTTTGGATTGTCTCCCTATCTTTACTCAGCATGCCTACTTGCGAAAAAAGGAGGTCATGGCACTAGAGGTTGGTATCCTAACAGCAGAGGGCATCCCCAATGCCCATATTGTAAAAGAGTGGATCACGCCTAAGAAAGTTGTTACTCTTTACATGCCTTTCCTAACAAGGCTGCCAACATTTCCAAGTTTGAAGTTTTGGAGCCAAAGTTCTCTAATGAAGAATATCATGAATATCTCAAGTTAAAATCTGAGAGCCAAGCACAATCTTTCATCCATTCCATTTTATCAAAAGCTTGCATTTCTCCAAGCCTTGGAGTGTCAAAGTTCATGGATAATTGATTCTGGTGCTTCTGATCACATATTTCTGGTAATGCTTCATTATTCTCTTTTATTTCTTATCCTAAAATTCCTTATGTTATTACTTTAGCCAACGGATCCAAAGTTAGTTCTCAAGAAGTTGGTCAAATCTCCCTCCTTAAACCTAAATCATGTACTTCTTGTTCCTAATTGTCCTTTCAATAGAATTTCCCCAAGTCAATTAATCAAATCCTTGAATTGTTCCATTACCTTTGATGCCATTTCTTTTTGTCACACAAGAGCGTGGTACTAGTCGATTGATTGGTGAAGGGCACAAATCTAGAGGACTCCATTATCTTGGTTCTATACCATCGATGTCTTGTTTAGCATCCCTATCTCTCAGTTTCTTTCTTAAGTGATAAAAAGTTATTTCTTGCGCAATTGAAGACATTACAATAAATTTAAAGTAGTGTTCCTTAACAATGATAAAAATGTCAAGCAACAAAGGAATTATTTTTGAAAACCTACTGTATGCTTACACCAATTAAAAGCCAATGACTATTATTACCAGATCGATTATTGTGCTATAAAAAGCATTATTAAAAATGATGCAAGAGTTATTGCTAGTAATATTGTGGTGCTTTTACATACCTTCTTTGCTTTCAAGAAAAACTGCTAGAGTTATGCTTTGAGCATATTTACCGAATTAGGCATAGTTGCATGACCAAAACCTTTAAACCTAACCACTAATTCTAAAACTGTTTAATGATTTTTACTTTTTTGGCATTTACTTCATGTTTGTAACAATTAACTGTTAGCTATTGATTGCCTGTTCTGAGTTTTGTTGTTTCTTGTTTGAATAAGACATGCTTCAGAATATGAAGAAAGTTCGTGCTTGAGGTTGCTCTTAGACAAGAGAGATGCATGGTTGGGTCCATGGATTCCTGGAAGGTTAATATCTGACTGTAATGCAATTAAGCTTCTTTATTTCCGTTTACTCAATAGAATAAATTGCAATGAACCATTCTTGTCAAATGAAATTATACAATTATACAAATGTCTCTTATGTTGTTGCAAAGTTCAAAAGTCCCCCTTTTAATTGCAAGAAGCGTATACTATGTTGTGTTAGGTTCCACCAAGATACTCTTGGAGTATTTGGAGCTGTTCAGGCTAAACTAAATCATGTCAAGTTCTTTTGCTGCATCCTGTATACATTTTTATATTCTTCATCCAATCACTGTTAGTGGCATTTTAAGGTGTTTGGCTTGATTTTCTGCATTAGGATCTTTTCCACTGATTTGTGCAAATTGCAAATTTAGACTTGATAAATTTTGATTGCAGTTGCCCAGTACCATACATTTGATATAGAAAGGAAAGAAAGTCAGTAGTGTCCACCTAATGTAGTTGTGATTTGTTAAGCTATTGGCTTCCACCTAATGTAGTCAGAAAGCCAGTACCATACATTTTGCACAACTGCCAATCTCTACTCGAGATAGTTTGTTGAGGAAATTATTCACATAACTTTTTTGTTTTTTTCATCTCTAGTTTTCAGAGCCCTTTCTACATTGAAATGGTAAAGCATGTTTCATTTACCGTGATAGTTTCTTGAAAAATTGTTTATACTTCTTTTGAACTTATACTTTTATCATTAGACCAACTTGTAATATTTTCTATGGTTCAAGAAAACCTGCAAATAAAATGTCATCTCACACACTTTTAACACATTTTTTTGTGCCCCACTTTTGTTTTTCTTTTCATTTAAATATATGCTATTAGGAAAAGAACATAAATAATATTTTAATTTAAATAAATCCACACATTTATATAATTTTAAATAAATAAAATCATAAAAATATTGTTCATATAAATATTATAAAACATAAATTAAAATGTAAAAATGTAATCCTCTAATAATGAATTTGATGGGTTTCAAAGCATAATAAAATAAGTTTTTTCACTACAAAACATAAAAACCAAGCAGCAAAGGACTTTCTTTAGAACTTAAACACTGCAACATTGTACTACTCATGGTCAACACAAGATTGATGGAGTCAAGAGTGAAGGATTTGGAGAACACCGTAGCAAACGGAATTCAATTACTAGAGGGTTTTGAAGCAATATTAGATGCAAGACTAACCCAAATTGATCCAAGTTGGGAATCATGTCTTGTGCAACAGGATTCACGCATGGCATGGTTGGAAAATATTGTTGAAAGATTCATGAAAGAGGACAGCGGAAAAAGTGAGTGCAATATGAACCATAAGTCTTCAACTGAGTTTGTGCAAGAGGAGTCAGTAGGTGAAGTGTATGGGGATATTAAGAGTGTGGTAAGTGGAGAAAACTGGATATTCTAGTTCTTGAGGGAGAAGATGCTATGGGGTGGATAGGTAATGTCGATAGATATTTCCCATTAAGAGGAGTGCAAGAAGAGCAGAAGATGAAAACAGTTCTGTGGCAATTGAAGGAATTGCCTTATCTAGGTCTCAATGGTGGAAAATATGCAATCCAAACCAATCTTGGTCTGGTTGTAAGAATGCACTCATAAAGATGTTTCAACCAGCATTGACAGAAGATCCTTTTGAATCGGTGTCGGCTCTTAAGCAAGAGAAACAATGAGTGAATTCATCACTCAATTTGAAAGATTTGCAGGAGTTACTAAGGGATTAGATGAACAGCACTTGGTGAGAATTTTTTCCATTGGGTTAATGGAGGAGATGAGAGTAGAATTGAAATAGTATAAAACAGAAACTCTTTCGGAAATGATGAATAAATGGAAGGAAAAAGATATAGCAGATGCTATGGCAGCAAGGGACTCTAGTGTCCATGGCATACGAGGAAACAAGAGTTATCTTACTCAACAAGGAACAAAAGAGTGGATATCAACACCTTCAAGAACAACTACAATAACAACTTTTTATAGTTTTCATTCCATTCTCAGCAATGGTAGTAATGAAATAAATGCTATAAATGAAGCGTGCAACAGAGAAGATTTTATGAGGTTCGAACATTTGGAACTTCAAGAGAAAATTAAGAAAGGAGTGTTTTTTGTTTAAATTGTGTTTCTAAGAAAAGCAATTCTATGTCATGATATTATTGGAAGAGCAAGAAGTGGAAGGGCTAGATACATAGGCTGGAATTACAGAAGAGGAGCAACATGATATACAAATATACCTGTACAGTATAGTGGGGTTCACAACTAGAAGATCTTTCAAGGTGTGGGGTCATAAAGTGGTGTTATTAATGATTGTGGAGCAACTCAAGTTTATTTCTGCAGAACTACTGACCAAACTCTAGTTACCAGTAATGGGCACAAATCCATATTCGGTTGAGGTTGGTGATAGCCACAAAGTTATGTGTAGAGGTATTTCTAGAGGATTGCTATTAGAGTTAAAGAAGTAGACATGTCATTTTTTTTTCTTGTTTGGTTTAGGTGGATCTGATACTGGTTGTGATTGTAATGACTAGCAAGCTTGGGATAGATCAAGGCAAATTTTGATATTTTAGTCTTTCAATTAAGAATTAATGTGGAGAAGAAATTCTTGAAAGCGAAACCTGAATTGATCAAATCTGCAGTTGCTGTAAAAACTATTAGAGGGTTTGCAAGATGCTGGGGAAAGGTACATTCTGGATTCGAAGCCGATATTAGATACAACAATTGAGAGTACTGAGGTTATAGAGTGGCTACACAGGATCATTGATGAATATTCAAATGCATTTGAAGCTCTGAGTACTCTACATCCTTATAGGAGGCAAGGTCATGCTAGTGTTGTATTGAAACCAAACTCTCAAATACCAAATATCAGGCCATACAGATATCCGCATCACCAGAAGATAGAAATTGAAAAATTGGTGACAGGGATTTTGGGAGTAGGCATCATTAGTGCAAGAAGAAAGACAACGGATGACACTTTTGTTTTGATTATAGAGTCCAGAATGAAAATACAATACCAAATAAGTTTCCTATTCCAGTTATAGAAAACTTATTAGATGAGATTGGGGGAGCCCCATTTTTTCTAAGTCGGATCTCGAATTGGGTTATCATCAAATAAGGATGGGGAGGATGATTTTAGAAAACCACTTTTCGAACTCATGAAGGACATTATGAATTCTTGGATACGCCATTTGGGTGGATGAATCCTTATCGAAGAGATGTTTAGCTGGAGGTGGGAGATTGGGTGTATCTCAAACTACTACCATATAGGAAAGGATGTTTGACTAAAAAGTTGCACGAGAAGTTTAATCCACGTTGTTATGGTCCTTACCAAATTATAGTCTATGTAAGGGAGTAACTTACTGGCTGGAGCTTTCACCTCATTCTAAAGTTTATCCAGTATTCCATGTTGCTCTCCTGAAAAAGTCATACATCCTACACAAAAGTCTGAACCACTGCCTGAAGTACTAACAAAAGGTGAGGAGTTGAATTTTGTTTTTGGAAGCTGTGTTGCATTGTAGAATAAATTATGTGGGTCGACAAGAGATTTTGGTTAAATGGCAGCAATTACCAGAATTTTAAAGCTGCTGGGAGGAAGTTTCTGTTAGAACATTTTCCACAATTCCATCATTAGGACAAGGTGCATCTTGATGGGGCGCATATTGATGGGATACAATCCTCTATTACAAAAGGTTTATGCAAGAAGAAATAAGGGAAAAAGGAGTCGAGCTACTTGATGTTGTTGCAAGTAGTTAGGATTTAGTTACCATGTCACTAGAGTTCGGTAAAGAATAAGAGAGGTTTGTATAAATACAATTTGGGGGTCCAGAGAAAGGGAGGTTATTCATGTTGGGAGAATACTAGTCCCTCAAATAACCAGAGTAATTGTTTCTGTAACAGCATGCACTGAAGGAAATATACTTTGTCTGTCTCTCTTTGTAAACTTCATCTTCTTTAACTTTTCTGATCTAGTTTCTATAACCCCTTTCAACATTTTTTACTTGGCGACTATCTGCATCCCAAAGCATCAGCTGCCTCTATGAAATGACATAAATAACTGACTTATATTCCTCTCTTTCCCTCTTTGTTAACCACATCTGATTATTCTGCGCCAAAAAACTGTTTTTTTCATTCCTTTGAAGAAACTGAAATTCTGGAAAACTTATTGGCAAACCATTGTATAATTTAGTGACATAATCAATTATGCTACTATTTATGATGTTTAACATAGGTGAGGGTGATATTGTATAGAATGTTAGATCGGGTAGCATTAATTTGAAACAAGTGGAGAAATCCTTTTATGTGTGTCTCTTTTCTTTCTAAGTTTCTAACTCGTTTTTCTGTGAATAAAGGGATTGGTTTGAAGATGAGCTTCGAGCTTTCCAAGGAGGGAAAGATGGCCTTATGCCCTGTGTATGGGAGGATGAAATTTCTAGCTTTCCTCAGGTATTAAATTTTTATAGAATACAATTAGCAATCAGCTGCTTATTTAATTAGTAATATACCATTAAGAATAAATTAACTGATTGTTTGTCTCTAACTTTTTTAAGATTAGAAATATTTTTCCTTGGACTCCTAAAATTTAATTCTCTAGTGTTTTTTTGTCATGTATTTTCTTTTTGGTTTTATAAAGCTATATTTCGATTTTAATGTTCCAATTAAATTTGTGATTGTTACATGTGGCCTTTTCACCATAATATGTGGTCAAGTAATTATTTGAACTTAATTTCTTTTTGTGACATGCTCATGGAAGGTTCTGAATTAGCAGAAACGTTATTAAGTAAGAGCTGAAAATTTGGAAATTATTTTTTGCATATGTTTGTTGTAAAGATCTAGTTTTACTAAAGTTTTTGCACAAATATTGATATAAGCCAAAATACTGATTTTTATTAATTTAATGAAATTGAACAGGGTCTTAAAACTAAGAGAGTAATATAATTTTATTTCTTAGTGATCTAGGGTTACACTGAAATATTTATAGAATCAGTACAGTTGTCAGTGACTAGTCAAAATAGTTGAGTGGATTGGGAATAGCCTAATAAATAGAGGTGGAGAAATGGTGGAATCCCTTGGAAGAAAACATTTTAGGAAGTCTTGATCAAAATGCCTTTGATGGAATCTTTTAGCATTTGATATATCATAACAGTCTCATTTGATCCTTGTGGCTGACACCTGACTCCGCCTAGAGTGGGAAAGGATTTGTTGGTTATTATACTATTTCTGTGTTAGAATTTCTCTTTCTTTTTAAATAAATTTTTATTTGTTCATCCAACTCATTGATACGTTCTTTCCATGCTGTCCTATTATTATTGGATGCATTTCTACTTCAGTAACACCTTACCTTAATTTTAACTTGAAGCCGGAGACCATAAGCAAGACTTTGGTGAACCAGATGCTTCTGTTTTTTGGGACCATATTTGCGTCTCAGGTAGTCCATCAACAGCCTTGGCATATTTCAGAGTTCAGAGAGTGGTTGTTATTATTGTGGACTTCAGTTTGTGTTGTATATCTCAGGATAGTGCTGGCATGCTCTCTCTTCTGGGCATTATTGAGCAGTGTTTGAAAACTGGGAAAAAGCAACATTGGCGCAAAGCTAGTCTTACCAATATTTGTGTGGGCTTACTTGCCGGCTTTAAGGTTCTCTACATCCTTCTATTGGTATTATCAAAGTATTTTTTGCGCTCTCACCTGGTATACTTTTTTTCTCTTTTCCAGGCTTTGCTCTTGTTTCGACAGCAAACATTAGGACAAGATATTTTGGGTTTGGCACAATCTATTTTTCTGGTAGGAAATCTATTAATCCACTTACTAAAAGTAGATACATTTAGTATCTTGAAAAATAAAGAGCATTCATCACGTTTTTACTTTAATAAGTTAGAAACTGAATGGGAAGATGTTGTGATGATTTATGATTACTCGTCAGTTATTTGTTTACACCATTGTTGTCATTTTGTTATTACCCTCTTTCTTTTCTTTTGTTAAATATTATGGATAGTGTTTGTTGAATTTGAATGAAAGGGTATTTTGGCGGAGGGAGACATTTGTGCATCACAACGCCGAGCATCATCTGAAAGTCTTGGATATTTAGCTCGATTTGGAAATGATATCTTCACTGCGAGAATGGCAAGTTCCTCTCTGCTTTTGAATCTACAAGTTATTGTTCGCTGTTCTGTTGTGACTGATTTTATTGAAACATCTTCCTTATTAGCTTCAAAATTTTGTCTGCACTAATTAATGTTTTCTTCTCTGATTGTTCTGTTCATCAATGATGTTGGCAAGCAGACCAGATCACTACTAGGTGAGCTAAATGGAGCAACTGATCCCAACTATGCCGGATCAATTGCTTTGGCACTTGGCTGCATCCATCGCAGGTCATTTATTACAATACCAATGAATGCTTAATAGTTTTGATGATTATTTTATCACTTTTTTCAATTTTCTCAAGATACCATTCTTTTTGTAGACAGGGTGTCAAAAGAGGGATAAATCTGTATTTGATCCTCTTAAATATTTCTGTGAATAAGTTTGATTGTGTAGTTAATTTGTTTCCTTACATCGCTAGTAATTATACTATTTTTCTGTATGATTAATCTGTTACCCCCTTTTTTTTTGTTTAGGTTAAATTTTAGGTAATTCATCATTGTAATATTTTCTTTCCTCTTTAGGATTTAGTTTCCTACTTTTACGTGATGTAATTCTCCTCTGTAAGAAAGAGGAAACCCTACACAGATCAATCATCACTAATGTTTTCATATTATCAACTGTTTTTATTTGTTTTGAGCTGTGTTTATCTATACTTTAGCACAAACCCTTCTTTGTGATTAGTTTGGTTTCAAAAAGAAAGTGAAAGGAAAATGAGTAGAAAATGGGATGATAGTAGGTTGTTTGGTAGGAATGAAAATGAAAGGAAAGGTAATGATTTTCTTTTCTCTTGTTTGATATACTATAGACAATAGAAGTAAGAAAAAGCATGTATACAAAAAGGATATAAATATCCCTTACAAAAGAAATTGAAGTGTGAAAAATAATGTTAATTTGGTATTTTTTTTAATACACAAGAACAAGCTTTCACCCTGTTTCTACCCAAATTGAGTGGATAAAAAGTAATTGGTTTTACATGCTTTTTAAAATTCTCCTCCTTCCTGATACCATGTTAGAATTGGAAGAAAGAATGAATCTGAAATACACAAATGTTTAGGCTTTTGACAGTTGTAATGTATTGAAAAATAAGTCCTGTATATTGGCACTTGAAAAATTACACTCTTATGTTCTTTCCACACTAGAACAAATAGGTAGAAAAGGAAGACAGTGAAAAACAATTACTGACAGTTACAAAACAGTTACTGACAGTTACAAAACAGTTACTGATCGTTACAAAACAGCAAAATGAAATAACTGAAAATAAAAGGGGGTACAGAACAGTAATAGAGTGGCACTACCAGTACAAAGTTTAATAAAAATAAAATATGACTAATATATAAGACTAATACACGTTAACAAATCAAAGAAGGTCTAGTTTTAAATTTATTTATGTCCATTGCTTTCCAATCTTATTCTTTTAATTGTTCCATAAGTTTTGAAAGTATAGAGAATCAATATTTGACTATATTAGTTTTGAGAGCATAAAACTATTGTGCTGGGCCTTTTAAAGTGTGGTGGCTAAAATAAAGGGTGATTAATAGGTTTTTATGATGAAAGATTGGTAAGAAATGAAAGTTGGGTATTAAGAGAGGAGGATAATAAGTCTTCCACTAGAACAAAAATGAAAGAAAATTACAATAAAACTTTTATAGAAAGAGAGTACAAGAGACATGAGATGCGTTCTATATGTTTGACTTGCTATGTTGTGCACACATTAGAAGTCTCAAACACTAGGGTAATTTTACAGTTACAAGAATATAAAGCTATTGTATTGTCCATAATTACAGTGGTTACAAGAATATAAAGCTATTGTATAGTCCATAATTACATTGTTTCTAACATTTTCCCTCACGCTAGAGGATGTAAACTATATGTTCTATGCTTGTTGTGTATGTAACAAACTCAAGAACCTCTCAATGACTTGGTGAGAACATTTGCCAATTGATTATTTAAGTGGATAGTGGTGATGTGTTTGGATAAAATCTTTGATGAGGCAGTAGAGTGAAGATCATAACAAAATCGTGATAGATGAAAGTGGAGGAGAGGAGGAAGAGACTTTAGAATCTAAAGAATTTTGGAGGCAAGAAAAGCATGGGTTAATGATAGATAGTCAACTTGACTTATGAATGACAATCTCAATTTTGTTTTTATCCTTTTTGCAAATATTTCTACCATCACCTTTCCCTAGTTGTATGGGACTTGTTCCCTTATCTCTATTAAATATATTATTCATTATGGAAATCTCATATCAACTAAAGATATGATCAATTTATAGTATATAGGTGGGTACAAACTTCACATGGCAACCCAATTTTGTGAGTTTGAAGAAAGTATAAATCCACTTTTTAAGATGAAATTAGAGTGTGTCCCAACAAGGTTTGTTAGGCCTATCATACCTCTCCACCATCAAATCATCCACAAATATCTAGTTTTATGCTCAAAGTGTCCAATCTTTGGAGTGAGAGGTTGTGTTGAAGATCCCACATTGACCAGAGATATGGTCAAAATTTACTATATAAATGGGTGAAAACCTTTCTTTACTAGCCAGTTTTGTAAAGATTGAGTTAGAGTTGAAGTTCATTTCTTAAGCTGGTGCCAAAGTTTGTCCTTGCAAAGTTTGTTGCTATCAACCATCCACAAATATCTAGTCTCATGCTCAAAATGTCCAATCTTTGATGTGAGGGGTTGTGTTGAGGATCCCACATTGGCTAGATATATGGTCAAATTATACTATATAAGTGGGTGGAAATATTTCTTTACTAGGTTTTGTAAGATTAAGTTAGACTACAAGTTCCTTTTTTAGGATGATATTAAAGGCTATCCAAGTGAGATTTGATATGCTTATTGCTGGACTTACAAGCCTAATGTTAGTTGTATTATTTTATTAAGCACCTTCTGAAGAAATGACCTTTGAAGGAGCTTTGGATTTCCAAAGATTCTATCAAGAGAAAAGGTAGCCTTATTTGAAGCATGAGTGTGGAATTGAAAAATGATTTTGCAAGAAGGCCTTGAATTAAGGGACCAAAACATTTTGTCCTGGTTAGAGGAGAATGGAGTAGAGTTCACGATACCCAAGTAGGATTCAAATTCAGAAATTTACTTATCATTTAGGTTACGAAAAAGTAAAATCTTGAACACAAACAAAATTGTGGATAAAAGAATTAAGTAATAACACAGTGTAAGTTGATTTGCAATTGAGATGTAATAAAAGGAAAAAGGTGGTTAATATTGACAGAAATAGCAGAAACGAGAAAGTTTACACTTTTACAGTAGTTTCTTTCTAAAAAATTCTTTCCACTTTGTGAATTATTTTATGCAAAACCACATTGGTTCTGGTAGAAGGTTTCATGATGTTTCTGTTGCTTTTTTCTTGTGCGTTTAAGATCTCAGCTTAGATATTTAGCTGAGCAGATCTATTAACTATTTTAAACTTATGTGAGCAATTAAAGGTTTACTTCCTTTCCCCTATTGCTATAGGGTCCACTTTTTTTTTTTTTTTTTTTTTTTTTTTTTTTTAAATTCTGTCACTCTTTACCAAGTGTGCAAAATTATCTTCTCTCTATATTAGTTTTGACAGTTCTTTTCTTACACACCTTGACTGCAGTGCAGGAGGGATTGCTTTGTCAACTCTAGTGCCTGCAACAGTGAGCTCTATATCCTCACTGGCTAAAAGTTCGGTAGCTAATCTGCAGATTTGGTCTATGCATGGTCTTCTTTTAACTATTGAAGCTGCTGGCTTGTCCTTTGTCTCTCATGTCCAGGTATTCATAGTTTGAATGTAAGCATCTTCAGGTTGGTAATTTATTAATATAGTTTGATATTTTGTCTCAAATAGAATTAATGATCTGACAGTAATTGCAGCACGAACAGCTTTGCTCTTGTTTTAATGTGATGATATATTTGTTAAGGACCAAATTGAAGGAGTTCTATGAAATGTAACTGATTGATTCATCTGAGCCATCCAGTGTTTTAATACTTTGAATTTATTATCCATGCTCCAGAGAAAGCTGTTTCAACAAATGAACATTTACATTGTTGAGAAAACGTTGCTTATTCCTCTCTCAGTTGTCATCTGCCTAGGCTATTTGTCATAGAAGTTCATTTCTGTTTCCACATCGTTCTTGTATCTACTTTGATCCATCTTTTTGCATAAAAAAGATGAAGAGAAAAATGAATTTGAATATGGTGAAGGTGAAGGAATAGAGCATGATGGAATGGAGATTGGATATGTTCCATCGTTTGAATTTTTTGAACTAGAATTGGATGGACTGTACCCCATTACATCCAAAACCCTAACATTATATTCCCCAGGGGAGAGGTGTGATTGAACCAATATAAATTTCCATTCCATCATAAATTCATGATGTATCCAGCCAATGGAGCAATAATTATTTTCCATTTTGCTTGCTGTTCGACATCCAAACATTGAGAAAACTATTAGCCACTTTTGTTGGTTAATCAGATAGATTCACCTTATTTTATTGTGTAAATAATCTTTCTTATTAGACATCATGTTGTTCTTCTATGATTATTCACAGGCGACACTTTCTCTTGCTATGGACATTCTTTTATCTGACGATAATGGGTTAGTAGACATTCAGCAGGGAGTTGGCCGTCTTATAAATGCTATAGTTACTGTTCTTGGCCCCGAGCTTGTCCCAGGAAGCATTTTTTTCTCCCGCTCCAAGGTGAGTTTTTCTAGTATTTTTTAATTATCAATAAAAACATAAACTTATCAAGAGGAAAGAGAAAATAATTATAATTCAAAAAGTAGGATAAACGATCCTCTTTAATAAATAAGGAAACACCAATGGACATGATAAATATTGAAAAACAAAATTCAATGAAGTAGCTACAAATTCCTCGGCTAGTGTATTTGGAAAGCTTTCTTAAAGCCATCAGCTACTGTGTTCAGGAAGCCTGCTAAAGATACCAAAGCTGCAGTCTTACCCTACAACCTTATGCACTTGTTGAAAGAAAATAAATTGATACTGAAAATGAGTATTTACGTACAGAAAAGTTCATAATTCTTTGTTACCCAAGACCTATATATAGATCATAGAATTACTCACAGTTAATTTTAACTGAGAATAGAAAAAACAGTTACTTGTGGCAGCAAACAGAAAGGAGAAATATCTTTAACAGCATTGAAGTGGGACTTAGATTGTTAAAATAATCTAGAGTTTTCTGCATTTTTTTATACTTCATTGAGTATTTTTTTCCCTTTCAGTCTGCCATTGCCGAGATTAGCAGCTGGCAAGAAACTTCAACTATGCTTGAGTATGTTTCTTCATTCCACCTTTTAAATATAATTAATATTTTCTTGTTGTCATCTTGTTTCTGGCTTTGGGGAAAGTATTTTTCAAAGCATTGTTTTATTGATAGTTATAAAAAGTTTTCTTGTTTTGTTGCAGGAGTGCTCGCTTCACACAACAGCTTGTTCTTTTTGCACCTCAAGCTGTTTCTGTACACTCCCATGTGCAGACTCTTCTGTCTACTTTGTCATCAAGACAGGTTTAACTCTGATGTATTTTTCATTATAGGAAATAATGTGTTATTAGCTCTTCTTTTCTGCTTAGACTTTTTTTTTTCCTTTTCTAAATGCAGCCAACTTTGCGGCATCTTGCTGTGTCTACTCTAAGGCATCTAATTGAGAAAGATCCGGTTGGTTTCCCATCTTTATTTGTTTTTAATATAGAAAAGCTAGCATGTCAGATTGTTGTGCTAAGACCTGATTTTACTCTTTACAGGCTTCCATTATTGTTGAGCAGATTGAAGATAACCTGTTCTTTATGCTTGATGAGGAAACTGATTCGGAGTACGAACATAGATAAACAAAATTTCTTCGCCTCTCCTGTTGATTAGTTCTTTGGTTATGATCAAAATCAAACTCCTTTTTTATTATTAGTTTCTTGGAATATTTTAGGTGATTGCCTATGCATTTCTGTTGTAACGATTATAAGGATCAAAATGTCGGTCATTCTGTCCATTGTATTTAGAATCTTCCTATTTATTTTAGCATATTTTTATTTCCTCATTTTTTAGTGTTTGGTTGTTACAAGTAGAGATGATGAGAATGTAATTGTTTATCTCTTTTAAATAAGGTTGATTAGAGTGTGGTATGGTAGGTGGCCCACTTGTATCACTCACGACTTCTTTATGAACTAATACAAGCTACCGGAATATAGGTTTTCCTATTTGCTACATGGGTTTGATGTTGCCCCCCATGGTTGGTTGTATCTTTTCATTTTCTTTTAATACATGTTCCTCTAGAGGCACATGATTGTTGAAGCTTTGGGGAGCCAATCTAGTTGGGTTTCAAAGCTTTATAATGATGCCTTTTAGAGTGAAACTTGTTAAAGATCCCAAATCAATTCGGAATAAAGCCGAATTATAATATTTAAGTGGGATGTAATACTAACCTTACAAGTTGGTTTTTAGGGTCATTCAAGGCTTTTCCTAGTCAAGGTTTTTAGGACCATTATGTCATCATTATCGGGCAACTATTAGATTACTCACAAATATCTAATTCCATGCTCAAGATTTTAATTTCTGGGTCTGAGAGAGTGTGTTAGAGATTCAACATTGACTAGGACTAAGGTTGAGTTATAATATGGAAGTAGGATGCAATTTGTATCTTACAAGCTGGTAGAGTTAGACGTAAACCCACTTAGAATTTTTTTATAGGAAAAGTAAGAATTTATATTCAAGCAGCAAAGCGATGTCATAAGGAGTACAAAAGATAGTATTTGGTTTCTTTGTTTGTTTTAAATGTTTCAATCTTCAAAGGATATTTATGTATTGAACATCATTTTCTCATAAGATCATTCGTTGGCTCTTCCTCTGGTTTTAGAATTTTGTTGTTTTATTTTCTTGAGGGAGAAGGGTGGGAAGAAGGGGTGGTTTAAGGAATTCCTTTTAAGAGGGAAAAAGGGGGATGATGACATTTTACATGGTCAACCACAGTTCATTTATCTGTTAGTAACAAATTGGCAATGGTGATTTATAGCTATTGGTATTTGGCTGAGACTGCTTTCATTTGTGCAGAATTGGAAACTTGGTGCGGACAACAATTATGCGATTACTCTGTGCAGCTTGTCCTTCATGTCCTTCACATTGGATATCAGTATGTCGCAAAGTGGTAAGCTTATGTCTCACCAATTGCAGTGTCCAGACACTGTACTGCAAATAGACATGAAAACTGATGCCTTCGAAGGAAATTAAAAATTAATGCACATGGGATATGTTAATTTTTGTTTTCGACTGAGCCCTCTAAGGATTTTTTTCCTGTGTGGGACGGGGGGCGGAGGATATCTAAGTAATTGTTTAACACAGATATAACAAGTGCAGGGATTTGTCTTGTAAAACAAGGATTGAAAAGGATGAAGGGTTAAGGGAGATCCTTATTGTGAGAAAAATGCTTGTGACCTCAAGTGATTCAGCCGCTTACAGTTATCTTATCTATAATGATAGAGTGGTATATGTGTAACTTGAAACATAGTGACACATGGTTGAATTGTAGATGTTGTTTGTCGGATATTAAATGCAATACTAAAAGTTGTTGGTAAGATATTAAATGTATTACTAGAAGTTGTTAGAGGTTGTTCGAAGATTCTAGAGATCTCTTGTAATTATTACTTTGGGGTTTGAGTTCTCTATATATAGGAGTTGATGTACGGTTTCAAATCAATTAACAAAAATAAGAATCTTCTTTCTTTCAAATTAATCCTTTCAAGTGTAGATATTACTACCAAATTGCAAGGCAAGCTCAAATGACAGTAAACTACTTTTTCTACCTAAACTCTTAAGTGAGCAGAATAGACAGAAAACAAGATCATTGGTTCAGGTTTCGATGGATCATGCTGCTTTGACCACTTTTTGAAAAGTTAGATGTTATTAAATTGCCTCCGGTCTACCCCCAATTTATAGTAGATGTGCTAGAGGAATATTCAAAGTAAATGCTGTCAATAGTCAAAGTCCAATCAATAACCTTGGTTTTTGGGTCAAAAGATATTTTCTGACACTTCTCAATACTCTTCACTATGGTATGATGGGATTATTACAGGTCCTTGCAACATCAATGAGGAACACAGAAAATAACAATGTTGGGGCAAGTGATAACCTAGACGGTGATTCGGGTTTGAACCTTGGAGATGATGAAAATATGGTTGCTGGATCCAACAACACACAGAGTGACAAGTTTCAAGCATCCATTGGTGCTACTAATAGGGAGAAGTACCTCAGATATAAGACCAGACTTTTTGCTGCAGAGTATGTACTTCACAACTTCTAATTTAAATTTTTAGAACTTTCATATATCTGTCAATGATAAATTTACCCAATTTTATAGTATAATCACCCTCTTTGTTTACCACTAGAGATAATTAAGGAAAGGATTCTCTCATTTGATGTTAATGTGTCTAATGCTAAAAATATCCTCATCCTTTTATGGAAAGTTAACTTTGAAATTATGTATCGTCTTTCGTTAATATTGTTTGTTGTTTGAATACTTAATGTTGTTTCAGATGCTTAAGCCATCTACCAGATGCTGTTGGAAGATATCCTGCACATTTTGATCTAACCATGGCAAGGAAAGAACATGCAAGTGGGAAACCTACTAGTGATTGGTTGGTTCTCCACTTGCAAGAGTTAATATCACTTGCTTATCAGGTACAGCTTAGCCATGCATGATCTACCTTTTGCACTTATTGGATATTCAAGAAATATTCAAAATTAATCATACCCTCCTGTCTCATTTCCCTCCATAACAGATTAGCACAATTCAATTTGAGAACATGCAGCCCGTAGGCGTCAGTCTTCTTGGCACTATTGTGGACAAGGTAATATGTTCCCTGTGAAATATCATGGCTTTGCAACTTGAAGGCCTTTTCTCTCTCAGTATCCTTTTTCGATAACAATGGAAAAAGGAATTATGGTGTAAAAAGTTTTTCTTTGACCTGATTAACATTTTTTTTTTCTTCTATCTTTTATTTTCTGTGAGAGGCTCTTTTTATTAGTTACATGTTTGTGATAGAACTAAGGGAGAGGCTTTAGGGTGGCGTGGCAACTTTGATACTCTGTTATATTTGACTTTTTGGTTTGAGTGAAATGCCTGCATCTTCATAATTTCTTTCCGCTTTCTATATCTGTTTTGAGCACATCTTTGGTGTTCAGCTCATGATATATTTAAACGGGCCTATGTAACGAATGTGCAAAGTCGTTTAAGAGCCTTATGATATTGAATATTTATTCTATCCTTTCTATGTATCTTATTTGCCTCTGATCATGGTTAGAGTCGATATTCAAATTGTGAGAACCTTTGTTGATATCTTCAATTTTGTTTGGAATTTTTGTTTCTCCTGTCTAAAAGTATTTCATCTTTTATCAACACTTACAAGTTTTCAGTATAGGCAAGAAAAAGTGAAAGGAAGAGATGAAAAATATTAGAAAGTGGATTTTTAACCTAACTTGGCTTCATAAAACTGGTTTACACCCACTTGTATATATCCTTAGTGTATGAGATATCTCTAATTGTTGGAAATCCCGCATCGACTAGAGATAAGGCCAATTAAGAGTATATAAGTGGATGCAAACCTCACCTTACAAGCCGATTTTGTGGGGTTGAGTTAGGCTTAAAGTCCACTTCTTAACATGGTATCAGAGCTATGGTTAGAGCCTATCTTAGCGATATTTGTTATTTGTTGAGCATATTGTTCCACTCCCTATTGGACCATCCATTATTGTCTAGTATCACGCTCGAGATGTATATACCTCAGCGTGAAGGGGATGTGTTGAAAGTCCCACATTGACTAGAGATAAGGCCAATTAAGAATATATAAGTGGGTGCAAACCTCACCTTACAAGCCGGTTTTGTGAGGTTGAGTTAGGCTTAAAATCCATTTCTTAACACTAATGCACTCTGATAGATTTGGTATTGTATATAAAAGGAGAGAAAGACAATTAAAATAGTTATATGTTATAACTGTAACAGACATATATAAGTTTGTTGGGGCTTGGTAGGAAGGTAGGTTTTTGGTTGGTTGGGTTTGGTTTGTTGGAAAGGGTTGAGAGAGAAGTCTCTCAGAATTCCATCTTGGTGATTGCTGTAAATCTATAATTGTATTTTGGACTTATTTCCCTATTACATTGGCATGGAAACCGTCTTTGTTCAATAAAGAAGTATATTAAGTGTAAGTCTTGGATACCAGTAGTTAAAAAATAAGACTAATTTATTATTCTCAAATCATTCAAAAATACATTATGATACTCTCTATTTGTAATAATCTAATTCTCCTAAAAAGGGAAATAGGGAAACTAGAAAAGTAAAATAAAGGAAAATAGAGAAACTAGGAAAGTAAAATAAAATAAAGATTATATATCTATTTCCTCTAATTAGGAAGATTATAAAGATATTATCTCAAATTACAACACTCCCCTCAAGCTGGATCATACAAGATTGTATGAACCAAGCTTGGAATAAACAAACCCAATCAGAGATAATGTCAATAAACCAAATTGCACACACAAACAAATGTAGCCCAAGAGACTCCTCAGCATCATATAGAGAATAATGGACAACCATGAACTTGCACCATGAAACTTCAACTTCAACAGCAATGGAATGGAGCGAACTTGCACCATGAAACTTCAACTTGGACAACAATGGACAAGAGAGATTTCCATTAACAATGGATGATGACTTGTAGCAGCAAACTGCAAGAATGGATGAAGGCTTGTAGTGGTGAATCGCAACAAACTGCAGGGACTAGATTGCCATCAATAGTGGCGAACAACAACAAAGCTTCAAGAACTTGATTTCCATGAGTACCATATGGGAGGCCTTCAAAGGCTAACAGTAATGAACCTTTCGGGACTTAATTGCCCTAATAACGACGAACCTTTAGGGACTTAACTGCCCTAACAACGACGAACCTTTAGGGACTTAACTGCCCTAACAACAACGAACCTTCAAGGACTTAACTGTCCTGAACAGAAACAAACCTTCAGGGACTTAACTGCCCTGAACAACAACAAACCTTCAAGGACTTTAACTGCTCTGAACAACAACAATCCTGCAGGAACTGAATTTCCCTGCAACGGCTAACAACAACAATCCTGTAGGGACTTAACCACCCTACAGCGCTGAAACAATAACAAACCTGCAGGGTCTAGACTACCCTACAGCGGCTGAAACTTTTCTTCCCCTCACGATTGAACACACGTCAATGACATGAAGGCTAAAGAACAGGTGAGAACCGATCTGTACTTGGGGACAAATCTGAAACCCCTAACATCGAACGAGTCAAATCAGCGGGTGGTCTCATAGAACAACTCTCAGTGAGCTGTTTCAACAAGGCATTGGCGGTGCAAGGATCCTTTCACATGGCAGAAAGAACTGACGCAATGGTGTCATGAGTGGACGTTTGTGGTCCTCAAGATTCTGAACAGAATGATGGTGGAGACAGGCTTGGCCACAGGTGTCGATGCATTTGGTGGCACAAGCGGCGGAGATGACAGTAAGAAGGACCGTCATTGTATATCAGTGAAACAAAGGGAAGAAGAAACCCATTGGGTGTGGTAGAGAACCCTTCACATTGTTGAAGGCATAGAGCCCTTCTCAATGGAGAAGAAGATGATGGAAGCGGAAGAAGTAGTACTAGGAGCCGGCGCATCAGCGACATCAGCAGCGGAGACGAAGCACTGTTGCTCGAGAAACAAAAACAAATTGAGTGAGAAAGGGAGAAACCAGTGGTGGAGCAGGAAAGGTCCTGGTCATAACACATGAGGCAAAACCCCCTACGACAGAGCTGGAGGATGACGGAAGTGGAAGAGGATGGTGTGAACTTGAGAAGAAGTCAAAGGGTCAAAAGAAGCTCAGGAGAGTGAGGCGAACAAAAAGCCAGTGGCGCAGTGATCTTCCGACCAGGGAAGGGCAGCGCGTGAACAGTACGCGCCCGAGATCAACCGGAGAGAGGAGGCGCGTGACGACGCGTTCAGACGAGATAGAGATGGCGACCACCAGGGTTAGGTCGCGCTTGAAGAGACGATCCATATTTGCTGGTCAACGATTGGAACTGCGACGGTGACCGATGGCGGATGGTAGCCAACGACGTACGAAGGCCAGCGGCGGAGAGCGGCGGTGCACAGCGGAGTAGCAGCGAAGGTAGTGGCCTTTCTTGGGTTCATCGAAGAAGAGACTTTCGGTCTCTTTGATTCAACTGGCAGTCAATAAGAATGCCAAAAGGAGCCAAAATTGATTGGACATTGTTGAATATAGTGAAAAACTATATTTAGATTAATCTCCCTTGTGTTAAATACACACATAGGGTTCTCTATTTATAATAGAAGAAATATGGGCTAAGCCCAAAATACAAATGAGAAATAATAACAAACTAACTAAAAGATAAAAGATATAATATATCTAACAGACATCAACATATCTAAAGCACCAGTTTCAGCTACTGGTCCGAAAGGGAATGGGTTCGAATCTCATTATGATCATACTCAAACAAACTATGTATATGGTAATACTGGAAAAAAAAGGCCATAATTCTAAGCCAGAACTTGACTAGGACAATTGAAGCGCATTAAAAACACATGTTAGAGAAGAGACTTTAAGGGGGCCGCCGGCAAACAGCGGAATCGGATCAGACAAGCTCTGATACCAAGTTGAAAAATAAGACTAATTTATTATTCTCAAATCATTCAAAAATACATTATGATACTTTCTATCTGTAATAGTCTAATTCTCCTAAAAAGGGAAATAGGAAAACTAGGAAAACTAGGAAAGTAAAATAAAATAAAAGATTATATATCTATTTCCTCTAATTAGGAAGATTCTAAAGATATCATCTCAAAAATTACAACACCAGTTCTATCACACCCCCTCACATCGGGACTGAACATATCGAGCTTGTGAGTAATTATTTATGTGTGGTTTGGTAACAACTCGATAGTGGATGACACAATACATTCACAATTTAAGACTAACTCAACACAATAGACTTTGCAAGGTGAAGTTTTCCTCCACTTATTTACTATAATTTGATCATATCTCTAAATGATGTAGGATCACTACCAAAAAGTAAGAAAAACTTCAGAATTACATTTTTTTGTTCACAGGACAATCTGATTACAGACTAGTAGAATGTAAAAAGTAGTTCACGGTTATGAGAAATTAACTATAAGACAAATACACCAGTTTATAACTAACTTGCATAGCTGGAGCACTAACAGCTGAGATATACTGCAAAAAGAGCTAATAAAAAGCTGAGATACACTCTAATACTTAAAGACATTTGAGTATTGTATTACTCGATTGTTAATGTGTTTCTTTGCTTTTTGTTAGTTTGTGAGTAGTAAGCCTTTGGCTGTTTAGTTAGTTAAGCTTGCCAGCTGTTACCATGACAACTAAAACTTGCTCTGTTCTATATAAAGAGACTATGCTTAATTTTAATTGTTGAAGAACTTGATCACTTTTACTAATTATATATCCATATCTGGAGTTCATGTTGGAAGATACTAATTCATGTTTATTTTCTGCTTAATTTAATGTTGTGTATGTACTGCATGGTGTATCCTAATCTTGTTATTTCTGTACTAGTCAAGTTTTATTAATTTGTTCTTGTATGTGAATTTGGATTAACAGTTTGAAAAATCAGCTGACCCGGAGCTTCCTGGGCATCTTCTACTGGAACAGTATCAGGTATTTAACAAGATGTGCCAAATTTGTTTTCCCTGGCAAGATTTCCATTCTTTAGTCAACTAAGGATACAGTTTTTTTGTTTCTTTAAGGATCATTTAATTAATTCACGTACTGCTTTTGTTACATAGTCCCATGTAATGTCTTGTTTTTATGGTTTTAGTAGATTATGACTTCTGTGATTTATTTGGAATAACTTAAACTGTACTAAATATAGGCCCAGCTAGTATCTGCAGTTCGTACTACCTTGGACACATCTTCTAGTCCTAGCTTATTGGAGGCAGGCTTGCACTTGGCTACTAAGGTAGCAGATCTAATCCTTCTCCTCATTTCCTTTCCTATCTTTGAAATTGATTTATTTACTTTTTTAGAAATCCCCCAAAATCGCTTCTGTAAAGCCAATTGTGGGCTTCCCTTGAACATTTCATAAATTATTATTTGGAAGTTGCAAATATATTTGCGAAGTTCCTCAAGTTTGCAATTAAATATAGCTCAGTAGTATCTGAAAATTTCAGATACTAACAAGTGGAATCATCAGTGGAGATCAAGTGGTGGTCAAGCGCATATTCTCGTTAATTTCTCGACCATTGAATGACTTTGAGGACATTTACTATCCTTCATTTGCAGAATGGGTCACAAGCAAGGCATGTAACTATATTGTTATTATGTATTTGATCATTTTTGAGATATTTATTGTCTAGACCTTTTGTCTTACTTGTTCTCTATGTTTTAGATCAAAATAAGACTTCTGGCGGCTCATGCTTCTCTTAAGTGTTATATATATGCATCCATGAGGAAGGAGCAGGATGGAGTTCCGGACAAGTACCTGGCACTATTACCATTGTTCCAAAAAAGCTCAAGTATTCTGGGAAAGTACTGGATCCATACATTGAAAGATTATAGTTATATATGCTTATGCCTAAGCCCAAAGAGGAAGGTGTGCCAGAATTTGAACTTATTAAAAATATTAATGAGTGCATAATTTTATTGGGAGATGAAACCTGGATCAACATGAAACTGTGATTATCTTTACGGTTTGCCTTCTCATTCTAGTTGCTCCTTTTTTGCAGTGGAATCTGTTCCTTGATGGACTGCAATCACCTATTGTATCTTCAAAGTTGCGTCCATGCTTAGATGAATCTTGGCCTGTAATTTTGCAAGCACTTGCACTTGATGCAGTACCTGTGGATTCTGAAGGAAACGAAGCCTCAGTTGAAAGCACCATAAAACATAGTGCCACTGCACATCCATATAGCATGGTTCAATTGAAGTGTGAAGATTTTAAGTTCATGTGGGGCTTTTCTCTTCTTGGCCTGTTTCAGTCACAACACCCCATCCTTTGCCAACCAATTTTACAGCACACTTTTCTCAGTGCTAAGCACAGTGGTAACTTGTCAAGTAATGATGTGAAATCCTCAGGCTTGAAATTATATGAAATTGTACTTCCTATGTTTCAATTTCTTCTGACTGAAAGATTTTTCGGAGCTGGGTTACTTACAGTGGATATTTGCAAAGAACTGTTGCAGGTGGGTGTTTTATCTTGTTTGTAAAATCGTTCTGGTTCCTACACCTAAGTTTTAGGAGAGCTGGTTCTTGACACAGAATTTCCAAATATAATTGACATGGATATTCATAATAAATTAGTCCTTGTGAAATATTAGTGTCGTCTACTTTACGGGTTCAGAGTAGAATGTTTGGAAAATTAATGAAAGAAAAAATCGATGACTAATATGGACTGTTCAATATATGTATATCTCTTAATAAGTGGGTTTATGTATAACCTAACCTTACAAAACCAACTTATAAGATGAGAATTGCACTCTACTTACATATTATAATCTAAACATATTCCTAACCAATGTGGGATCTCTATGGCAGTCCACTACCGAAGATTCTTGCTTATTTGCAGTCATAATAATTCATGTGCCTATAGGGTTGAGTTTATATCATATGGAATGGGCATGAATAATACTATTCTTACATATCTTATTCTGTTTAATGTATGCAGATTCTTCAATATTCCACTTACATGGATAATTCTTGGCACAGTCTTGCGATATCCATTTTATCACAGGTAGACATTTGATAAACTGATATAAGGATGGTGAACCCACATTCTATTTTCTCTCAACACTTCATACACTCTATTCCTACGCAGAATAGGTTCCCATTGTAGTCTAGCAAGCTTTTGCTGCTTCGTTCAATGTTTGAGACGTATAAAGTTCAAGTTTCAATTCTTCTCTACAGGTTGCACAGAATTGTCCACAAGAAATTTTCAATAGTGAAAATTTGGCCTTGATAACTGTGGAACTTTGTTTAGACTACCTTTTTAAAGTGTTTCGGAGGTATTTAATTTCCTATGACTGACTATTAAGGCTGTTTCCATTATTTGATGGAAGTTTTGCATTGGATATACATATTGTGCTAAAGATTTCATATTCTTCTGTTGTCTAGTGCTGACACAACTTCAGCAACTCATCCAAATTCTGAAGTAAATGTGATACAAACTCTATGTAGCACAACAAAGGCAGTCATCAACCGTATGGAGACCAAGGTGTGTTGTTTATGATACTGGATGATTGATCTCTGTTTGAGCCATTATCTTTTTTGTCAAATATCTACAATTATGTATGCATTGAAGTTGTGCAATAAGTTATCCTAATTTTTTCTTTAATTATATTTCTTCTCTAAAATTGTGTTCGTTGATGATTTCTTCTGTTGATGATTTCTTCTAATAATGATTACTTAAGATGCATAAGAATCCCAAATCAGTGGTTTTGGCGTTAGTTTTAATTGGCTACAAGTGCGTAAGGGAGGCTTCAACTGAGGTGTGCTTATCGGAAGCCATTGACATGGTCAACTGTACAATTCCTTTATTAAAGAGAATCATTGATGGTAAGCCATTTTAGTTGGAAGCGGTGTGATCCAGTTCATTCATGCCTCCATATGCATTCCTATTTTGACTGTTAATATTTTACATATATTTCCTTAATGTTTGCTCATGTGCATTTTTACTATTCTTAATTTAATTTAATGGTACCATCTTTATGTGGAAGAAATTACTTGAGTTCCTCAAGTTTCAAGATATTTGAGCTGGATCTTGGCTTCAAGCTAGCCGATATAGGAGAGAAGAATAAACTTTGATTCATTCAACTTACCAGCTGATGGATCTTTTACCCAATTTTTTTCTTTTTTTTTTGTAGATGAGGCTGACCCTCATGATAGCTTTATCCCTCTAAGAGATATGTATGGAACTTGTCTGAGCGTCGTCGCTGCTCTGACTAAGGATTGCATTGAGGAATGCCATTTGCTGGTTAAAAGTTTCAACCAACGCAAGCTAATACATACAAAACTTTCATTTTCTTTAGACCAAATTATATCCATTTCAAAACTAGCTCTTGAAAGTAAATATGCCGAAGATTGTGAAGCAAGGAACTCCATCTGTGTTGGTGCACTGCAATATTGTATTAGATGTATCCAAACTTTACTTAGTGATTCAAATATGCAGGTAAATTAATATGTAAGAAATATCACACCTTATGACTATGGCTCTTACCTAGAAATAAATTCTAATGACAGAACTTTCTTCTTAATAGGTTCAAGCAATAGGATTGCAATTTCTGAAATCCAGGATTCAAAGAGTTAATACAGAAGATAACTCTTTTATGATGTTTATTGTTGGGGAGCTAATTACTGATATTTTCACTTTAATCCACAAACTGTTTAAGGTATAGCCAATATTTCATATGTTTTTCCATTAATGCATCTAATATTGTCATCAGTTCAGATTGATATTCAACTTTGCAATTACAGAATACTATAACAAGAGAATCAGTATCCATTGCTAGTGAATGCCTGAGTCTCCTGGTACTATTACAAACCCTGTCAAAAGGTAATGACTGTCAGAGAAGTTTTATGAACCTACTTCTGGAGGCAATTGTCACGATTTTCTTGTCAACCGAAGCTGGGTTCTCTCAGGTAATATGAACTGGGAGTTTCTATTGGTGAGGTTAGCTTCTTGATTTTGTTATACATTCTTTTGATCATGCAAATAAATGACAGGAAGTCAGAGATTTAAGAAGCACAGCTGTTAAGCTTGTTTCTCGCCTTGCTCAAATTCCTTCATCAGCCGTCCATTTCAAGGATGTTTTACTATCAATGCCTCCTCTTCACCGCCAGCAACTTCAGGTACTTCTTTGTTACAGATGGACGTTTATGTGAACTGATTATAGACATTTATTTTGCTGAATTAGCACATCCTTTTTTTATACTAATACTAATTGACTACCTGAAAGATGTTGATGGAGATTATATTCTTAGAAATGGAAACTTTGTTTCTGTGCATAAAAATGATGAGGTCCCACTATAATTTATAATTCGCAGGGTGTAATCCGAGCTTCTGTAGCGCATGATAAAAATCCAATAGAAGCAAAAGTACCAGTTTTGGACATAAAAGCGCCGAAGCCATCAGAAGAAAGTAAAGTGAAACATTATGTACCATCTCCACCAGCTGTTGTGATGCAGACTGATGAAAATGACGAGGAAGAAGATGAAGTCAGTGAAGATGATTGGGATGCATTTCAGTCGTTTCCTGTCTCTAATAGTAAGGATGAAGAAGATGATTCAGAAACAGAGGAATCCGCGGAAGGCAAAGGCCCGGTTAAAATATCATCTGAAAGTTCTATTGGAGGTGATAAGTTTCAAGAATGTTCTATTTCGAAATCCATCAGTAGTGAAAAGGAGCTGAAAGGCGATGAATGTGTGGCGGTTGACGAAGAGGAATATCATGGAACGTGTCCCGGTACTAACAAGCCTCCTGATAATAAGAATCAGGAGATGGAGAGCAAATTAGAAAAATCGGTGCTTCAAGAAGAGCGAACATCATTACCAGGAAATGAACTGGTTTCTTCTGATCAAAAGCTTGAGGTAGGAGTAGAGATGGAGGAAAAATTGCAAGACTCGAGGCTTCAGCACGAGGGAACATCAATCACAGAAAATGGACTAGTTTCTGGTGATCACAAGTCTGAGGTAGAAGCTGAGATGGAGAAAAAATTGCAGAACTCAGGGATTCAAGAAGAGTCGACATCAATCCCAGGTAATCAACTAGGTTCTGGTGATCACGAGCTTGAGGTAGATGCTGGGAAGGAGGAAACTTTTCAAAACTCGAGGCTCCAGGAAGAGGGGACATCAATCCCAGGAAATGAACTAGTTTTTTCTGATCAGAACCCTGAGGTAGAAGTAGAAGCTGAGGAGGAAAAACTGCAAAATTCAGGGGTTGAAGAAGAGGGGCCTGCAATCCCCGAAAATGAACTAAATTCTTGTGATCAGAAGCCTGAGGTAGAAGTCGAAGGATCAGTGGAAGACGAAGTAACCTCAGATTCTCTAACACGTCAACAGGAAGTTCTTGAACCAGGTCACGGTGATGATGCTGAGAAAAACAGTGATGATGAGAACCAGAGTAGTCAACCACAGACAGAGATGTCTGAAAGTCCAGTAGATAGTGTACATAATAGTAATACAAAATTAGAACCATTTGCTGAAGTCCATAAAGAGTGATTAAATTAGAGCGAGCATAACATTCATCGATTCTTACTCCCTGGCATGACACTGCGGCAAAATATCTAAATTTGAAGCATTGTAAGAATGTATGGTCCAGTAAAGCTATATTTTTATTTTTTTATTTTTGCATTTTCAATCTATATTGCTAATTATATGTGGCATATATGTTTTTTTATCATTATTATTATTATTTGGAATCGTCTGTTTAAAATATTAAAAAATAAAATATCTATCGTTTATAACTATCTCTAATGTGATCTTTTATGTAGGGTATACAATTTACTTTTCTATTTTTCTATTATAATAATTTAAAGTAATCATATAATACTTATAATAAATTATACCAGGATAAAAAAAAGTTAGAACATTGTGAAGTAAAAAGAAAAGGAAAAAAAATAATCTAACACGTGACCCTAGTCTTAGATTAAAAATATAATTATCTATAATTTATATGTAAAATTAAGATGTGAATGTTTAAAATGTAATTTTATATAATAACTTCAATATAATTTATAATTAATTATCTTTTTATTATAACAAATAAGATTATACATATATTATTTATAAGAAAAATATAAGACAGGCATAATAAAAGATAAGGATACATGCCACAAAATTTATTTCCGGAGTTAGTAATAAGATTATTAATGTTGATATGTTTAACCTTTTTACATCATTCTGGTCATGGATTAGTTATAAAAAATATACTAAGTGTCATACAAAGTTACTTTTGTTAATGCAAATAATTTTTAATGTAAATAGTTTAAAGGAGTTCATAACTAAAGTTCTCATTGGAATCTTTCAAGCAGTTTATTACATCGATTCTTAGTTTATGTTTAAAGATGTAGCTAGGAACTAATTATATTTAGTCTCTTGCTTTAAAATGTTATTAATATCATATAATTAGTGTATATTTTTATTTATGGCTTCTTAATTTTTTATTTCCCCTCTGTTTTCGTTATTTTAAAAAATAATAATTCGATTTTGGTCTCTTAGAAAAAAAAAATATTTTTTATTGAGATTATAAAGATTACTTAATTTTTCTAATTGAAACTGTGTTTCCAAATAATTTAAGAGACAAATCATCACCTTTCTTCCTTTTCTCTATTCGTCTTGCTTCCTCTTTCTCCCATTGCTCGGCTACCTGCTCCGGGAGCTAGTAGCCGGGACGCAGCAATACCCTACCAAAACCCCTTTTTCCGATTCACTGAAAAGCTCTTAGCTTTGAATTTATTGAAGGTGAAAGTGATGCATAAACTCCTCATATTGTATGCCACTCAGACCGGCAATGCATTGGACGTAGCCGAACGTCTTTCTCGCGAAGCTGAACGCAGAGCTTGTCCCGTCGGCCTTCTCTCCCTTGATCAATATGACCCTGTATGTGTTGAAATTAAATGAAGCATCTTCTGTTGGGTGTGCCAAAAATGTTAGTTTGAAATCAAAGTTTAAGTTTTTTGTTCAATGTTGTTGGGTTTGTACAGAGTTTGTTACCGCAGGAGCAGGCCGTCATTTTTGTTGTTTCCACTACAGGCCAGGGGGATACACCTGATTCTATGAAGGTGACTAACTTAAAAGGGTCTTGATTTACTGTTTTCTTTCTGTTTTTTCAAAACTTTTCGTGATGTGATTTGAAATTGTTTCCATAATTCAATTTAAATGTGCCGAGGTTTTTTAAATAATCATTCAATCAGAGTGTTGTGTACGTTAGATATATTGTTGACATTTTATCTAAGTTGGCTTCCTATTAGTTGACTGTGAAAATCAATACACTTCAGTGCATGGAAATTAAACTCTTATTTTAGCTTGTTTTATTTTATTATTCTTTTTCCTTTGCAGGTGTTTTGGAGATATCTTCTTCAGAGAAACCTAGGCCGGCATTGGCTTAAAGGGGTTTCTTATGCGGTTTTCGGCTTGGGAGATTCTGGTTATCAGAAGTACAATGTAAAGTATTAATTCTTGCACATTGGTGGTGTTTTATTTGTTGAATGAAGTGTAACACTCAAAAGTGCTGCATTGATTATTGACTATTTACCTCTTGATGCTGAAACATTGTGAGAATGTGGGCATAGTAGGCACTGGACAATAATGAAAATGACTTAGTTACACTACAATTTTGATCAAAGCGTTTTTTATTGTCTTACCAGATATATTTATTTTCTTTAGTTTGATGCTTTAAACCTTGCTTGTGAACTGTTACAGTTTGTTGCGAAGAAGCTAGATAAAAGATTAATGGACCTTGGAGGAACAGCTATTGTAGAAAGAGGCTTGGGAGATGATCAACACCCTTCAGGGTATGGTTGCATGTTATGTTGCAATTGGATAATTTTACTTGGCATAGTTAAAACATACACATCTATGCTTGTAAAGTATGAAACATTGATTTTGTTAGATTACTGATTCATCTATCTAGAATGTACTAATTGAGTGTTCAATTATTTTTTATTTATAATTGATTTTCATTCAAACCCAAGATTACTTCTCTTCTAATTTATGATTAATCCTTCTTCCTTTAGTTGAAAACATATTATCTAAACACGAGTAAAATTCTAATATCTACAAGGTATGGTCCGTACAATAAAATGGAATCTGAAACATCTATTTTAATTTATAATGCCAAGACCTTTGAGTTTTGGTCTCCAACGTCTCCCACTAACGTCAGTAAAGCAAAACAATGTAAAATAACATTCAAATAATTATTACACTACTTTGAATTTCTGAACTAGATGAAGAAATACTCAAAGAGATATTAAGTTTATGTGGCCAACAATAAGGTATTTAAATATACTGCCCTACTTTAAACATCTGAACTAGATATAGAAACATTCAAAGAGAAGAGTAAGTTTATCTGGGCAAAGGGAAAGTATCCTCTAGAGCTCAAAAACAAAGAGGGCATTAACTTAACATGGGAAACGAGGACTGAAGCAAGAACGCCATCCCTTTGCTTACCAGATTCGTCTGCTGCTTTAGAAAGACCTTCGTATGAACACTCAAGTCTAGAGAGATGAAGGACATAGCTTTATCTAAAAACAAATATAAGGCCAATGAAGCACCACTGTTATAGATTTTGATAAAATTCAAAGGATTATTTTAATTTTTCAAATGCTTCTGTAAGCAACAGTACATCTTTACACATGTGCATCCAAACGACAGAGGAAACAGAGGGAATTTACAGCCGAGAGAACAATAATAAATCATCCATAAAGAAGGAACAAGATGCATCTGGTAAATATAAAATGAAAAAGGAAGCCAAGATGCTGATCTCTGTATATGACTGAATGGTGCCTTCCTTTATACAGCCATAAAGTGGTTATGAACACTACTCTATCCCATATCAGATTGAGAACCTAATTAAAAGAATTGAGCTTTAAGCTCCACCAAAAATGTACTAAATTTAAGTAAACATAACATTGTCATTTGACACCAAGTTCTTTCCTTATTTCTCTAAATAATGTTAACCTTACTAGCTGATACAGTTGTGTGCATTCTGCTTCAACAAATGAACCAAATTTTAAATGCAACATGTTGCCAGAAATGTTTTGCATCCTTTTCACAAATCCTTCAAACCTTACTGTCATAAGTTGTTCTATAGTGGAAGGACGCCCTCAAGCCTCACTTAGACCTCAACTAACTTGTTTCATCAGAAAGTAGCCACTTGCACGACACTATGTCATGATTAAGTGACAATTGTTTCTAAAATTGAGTAGTGACTACTACTATTTTCCTATACTCTTTAATTTAAAAGGTCACAGTGGCAAAAACGTGGGTACTTTGAGTTATGCTCTATGGAAGATATGAATCTACCTTTAATATTTTTCTATTAGAGCTTCCTACTACCTGCTATTGAGAACTTTGTTATACTGAATACCTCATGTTTTGTAATTCTTTTTTTTAATTAAAATTATTATATTTTTAATAAAAAATCAATGTTTTCTTCTTCATTGTATGTTGTAATAAAAACTATGTTTCAAGTGACGACTAAAGATGGTATAATTATTGTAGCTATGAAGCTTCTCTGGATCCTTGGATGTCTTCTCTGTGGAGAATGTTAAATATGATTAAACCACAATTCTTACCAAATGGTCCTGATGTTGTGATTCAAGATGCAGTTTTGATTGATCAACCCAAAGTCCAGATCACATATCACAACTCTGAAAATCTTGAGTCAAGTTTTTCTAGTACTTCAGGTATTCCAAACTGGTTAAGTTCTTGGTTGACTTGAAATCTTTCCATATTTTTACCTCCAAAAGTCTTTGCATGTATGTTGCTTTTGTTGTTTATGATTCACCATCTCTTTGAATAATTCAATTGGGTAGCGCACTTCTATGCTTAGGTATTTAGACTTTTCATATCAAGTAATGAACTAGTCTCAAATTTGTAAAAGTGCTTACTTTAACTTTAATTACTTCATTACATAGTCATTTTATGGAATTATTGACATGTTATTGGATGTGGGATATGAGTTCTGTGTTTTAATTGCTTAGTTTAAGCCTTGAAAGTTGTTGGTGCTTAAACATGCAAGGGCATTTTGATTTTTTGTCACGTTTGGGCAAAAGCAGTACACTCACTTATATAATACACCCAAAGGTGTAGAAATTTTGCTTTGGTGTTCTCAAATTTGTTTATGCTGCATTTGATTGAGCTTTAGCTGTAATGGTTTGGTGGAGTTACACATTTTTACCCTCATTGTTGATAAGGCTTTTTTTATTGTTACATTTGACTAGAATAACATGTGTCTCTTTCAGATTTAACATTTCTTAGTATTCAAATTGGAAGTGCTCGATCAGTGCTCCCTGGAAAAGCATTGTCTGACAGAAGTACACCTGGCTGCTTTCTTAAGATGGTATAGGATAAGACACTGTATCATTAGTAGTTATAAATAATATTTAGAATATGTGCATTCTACTGATCATTAGTGTCCGGTATCAGTTTTCAATAATTGGGGTGTTATGGTCCTCTGATAAACAATTTATAGTACATAGATCAATGCACCATCTCTTCTGTAGTATAAAATAATACGTTTGATATTTAGTATTTTACTGGTTTACATCTATTACAAGTTACAAATGAAATGTTTTTGTGTGAAAACTATTTTATCAGCATGTGTGCGAGAAAGGACCCACTGACTCTAGGATTAGGACTTGTGCACTTGTTAACTTTTTTTCATTGAAAATATGAATTTAACAAATCTAATTTCAAAATAGAATTGTATGATATTATATTGACTTCTTGATGCTCATACATACAGAATTTTAGATAAATCGAATGTTTGTATGTCATTTTTATAGTTAACATTTCCTTGTATTTTACGAAGTATGGCATCTAATCTGTTAACATTGATGTTGATTGATGAAGTGTTAATTGGTCCTTAGAACACGTGGAATATTGTAGAGTTGATTTTCTCAATGTGTTTTCTAAGCTTATATTTTTCATGAACAAACTTTTCTAAAACTTATCTATCATCTAGTCATCTGTTTATGTATCATACCTCACTTTATTTTGTTCTGATCATGCAGGTAAATAACCTTCCTTTGACCAGATCAAACTGTGGAAAAGATGTTCGTCATTTTGAATTTGAATTTGTTTCACATGTAAGCTACCCTTTATCTTTGTTTTTTAACCTTGTGGTGGATAGATGTATAAACTTCTTAGTGTTGAAACACATTAAGAACTAATTACAATGCTTCATATCTTATTTTTATTTCGTATAGTGAAATTCCTTGCTACAAAATTATTCACCCACCTGATTTGAATTACGAAATGCGTTATGGTTTCCTCAGGCTCTTCAATATGAGATTGGTGATGTCCTTGAAATTCTACCTGGTCAAGATTCCGCTGCAGTTGATGCTTTCATTAAACGTTGTAATTTGGATCCTGATTCATTCATAACTGTAAGTAATTCAGTATTAGTTAATATTAATGTGGTTCTCCTAACTTCCTCAGTCACCACATTTCACTTTATCCTGCATCGTGTCTAGACATAAATGTAACATTCAAACACTGTTTATACATTTAATCAGCGAAATGACCTCTTGTGAACGTCATATAGAAATAAAAGAAGCAAGCCTTGTGGTTTTTTCTGAGATTACTTTGTGCTTCCAGGATCGCCGAAGCCATGTTCTCGCTGAAAATTTTTCTATCTAGGAATAGTAGAACAATATAGTTGCCTGTTTTTGCTTGTACTTCATTTGCATGCATGACTTGTACCTGATTGGTATTTTTTGTTATTAAACTTATTTTTCTTCAATATGTGTATGTACATTTTACTGCTAAAGATATCTGCAAAATTTCAGGTTAGACCAAGAGAAATGGATGATCACAACGCCCATGATTCTAGAATCCCTGTAAAATTAAGAACTTTTGTGGAATTTTCAATGGATGTAGCTTCAGCTTCTCCACGGCGTTACTTCTTTGAGGTGAGATGAATTAAGTTTTGACTGAACATTTTTTATGCCATTTTTAAAAGATACAGAATTAAATTCAATGTTTTGCTTTGTCATTTACATTATGTTCTTTTTCTTTTCTTTTTAAAGTTCTTAACCATAGATTAGATGCGTAATGAGTTAATAAATTGCTAGAATTAGTTGCTTTCTGTAATCAAACAGAAACTCACAATGACCGAGGAATGTTGATTTTTCAGTATATGTATTGGCTTGGCTTTCGTACACAAATATCCACTAAAAATCCTAGTTAGCTCAGACTGTCGACCTTTAGATCAAGTCACATGGCAGGTCAAACCCTATATCAAATGCAAGCCTCTTTATAATATAGCATTCACCAAGTAGAACTAATAGCACACATCTTGGCTGTGGTGAGAAATAACCTCTGCCAATCTAAGATAGAAACTGAAATCAAATGCAGCAATCCTGTGTTCTCTTACTTTTTTATGTATGTTAGTTTTAATTTATGTAAAACCTATTATGCCACATTCTATAAAACAAGATTCATTCTTTTTATACCTGGGCAGGAAATGTTTAATTTTTTGTTCAAAGATGTTATGTGTGATGTGTATCTTATAAGTTTGTTATGAGATATGATGATTTCTTTAAGTATTTACATACAGGAAAGAAGCATGATAATAAACGCACATCAGCTTGGATATTTGAGTTTCTTCACATCTTATTAGGTTATAACTTCTTGCATTAAAAGCTAACCTAGTATTACTGTTATGCTCCAGGTTATGAGTTTTTTTGCAACAGCAGAACATGAGAGGGAAAGACTTAAATATTTTGCTTCACCTGAAGGAAGAGACGACCTTTACCAATATAACCAGAAAGAAAGGAGAACTGTTCTTGAGGTAAGGTCAATGAATTATATGTCATGTATGATTTTGTTTTGTCACTTTATTGTCATTTTTACACACTGAATTCTCCCTTGTGTTAAGCAGCTTCTAAGAAAGCGGGAAATGGTTAAAGGGTTGTGTCTAAAACTGGTCCATGAATGTAAAAGAATTAATGAAACAATAATTGATAAGATTTGGTGGTTCTTAAGCTTATATTCAGTACGATGCATATGTGTACATACATAATGGGAGCATATAAATATTGGCTACCAAGATTAGTGATATCAGACAGATATTTTTAATAAAGTTTAAAACCTTATGTAAGAGAAATTATTAGATTACAGCTTCAGTTCCAGTTCCAAAATTCTGGTTCTATTTTGAAGGTCATTTGCCTTTTCAAATTAAATTAATAGCGTTTCATTTTATTCACTATCAATGATATGACTCATTTTTCATTGTCATGAATGTGCTAAAGTTGAATTGGGACGATGTTGATGTAATGTATGATGAATTACCTATTTTATGTTTTAGCCTTGGAAATGTTTTTATCTGTTTTCTTTAAAAAGGTATTGGTATTTTGGGTGCATATGTGAGTACTGTAGGCTGGACATATTATTTTGGTAATATTGTTTTGGCGCCATTGTTGTGAAGGACAGAAAATTAAGTAAAATAACCGAGGGGCTTCATTACTTAGGCTAGGAATGCAGAAGTAGATACCAAAATTTGTAGCAGTTCTGGGATTTTATTTCACTCGATCATGATATGTTTTCTTTCTTGGAAAACAAAAGAAATTTCATCGGAAGGGAATGATAATCCAAGAGGATATCATAGCCTCCACGCTGAACTGATGGTTTTATAATTTATCTACCATTTAACAATTATTTAGATATTCCTTGATTCTCTCTGTTTTTGTTTTTTGTCTTCTTCATTTCAAACTTATGCATATGTCTGTTCTCCATGTTTGGTGGTCAAAAAGGTGTTAGAGGATTTTTCTTCTGTAAAAATGCCATTTGAGTGGTTAGTCCAATTGGTTCCTCCTCTGAAACCAAGAGCATTCTCCATATCTTCTTCTCAATCAGCTCATCCCAATCAAGTACACTTGACTGTGAATGTGGTGTCATGGACAACACCTTACAAGAGGAAAAAGAAAGGACTGTGCTCCTCATGGCTAGCTGCGTTAGATCCTTGCGATGGTATGAAGCAAAACAAGCCACTTATTGCATTTTAGTAGTAACCATCAGTATTACCTCTACATGATGTACTCTTTTCCTCTTTCAAGCAGGTATCCTTTTTCCAGCCTGGTTCCATAAAGGTTTGCTTCCTGCACCATCACCATCACTTCCCCTCATACTTGTTGGACCCGGAACAGGATGTGCGCCTTTTCGTGGATTTGTAGAGGAAAGAGCAGTGCAAAGTAGAACTACTGCAACTGCTCCAATTATGTTTTTCTTTGGTTGCTGGAATGAAGAGGGTGACTTTCTGTACCGTGACTTTTGGTTGAGTCATTCACAGAACAAAGGGGTGCTTTCAGAAGCAAAGGGTGGAGGTTTCTATGTTGCTTTCTCAAGGGACCAGCCCCAGAAGGTTTATGTTCAGCATAAGATGAGGGAGCACAGCCAAAGGATCTGGAACCTATTAGCTGAGGGAGCTGCTGTTTATATAGCAGGTTCTTCAACTAAGATGCCTGCAGATGTAACATCAGCTTTTGAGGAAATTATATCTAAAGAAAATGGAGTTTCAAGAGAAGATGCAGTTAGGTGGCTTAGAGCATTAGAAAGATGTGGTAAATATCATATTGAGGCATGGTCTTAGAACAAGTCATGAATTCCTTATACTTAGATTTTTGATAGTGCAATCATAGCCAACTTTAGCTACCTTACCCTCATTCTATTACTGGTTTTTTTCATTCTATCTTTATTCTTTGGTCATATGAGAAGTATATGAATATATGGCATTTAATTTTTAAGAATGTTTTGCCATTTATATACTCTAATTTGTAACTATCTTGATAATAGTAACATTTTTAAAATTACTCCAAAGAAATCTTTCAGAATTATTCCGCTCCTGAAAGAAAAATAGACTCTTTTTTAAACAAAAGAAACGCAAGATAGACTCTTCTTTTCTAACTTGCAAGTCAAATAAAAGAAATAATTGAAGTAAATTGGAGGATTGGATTAGTTGTATTGTGCTGTGTTGAGTAAGGTAAATCACATTTGCTCTCTTTCGTTTCTTCACTCCGTTCTAGCTCTGTTTGTGGAAATGTATAATTAAAGGTGAGGATTTTTTTTCTTCAATTTATCTTGTTAATACATCCAGCTTCAGATAACTTTAACCAAACGTTAGTTTTTCAACGTAGTTGTTTTATTCGAGGGTCACCGAACTTGCATCGTACGTTAGATTTTCTTGAATTTGGATATAATTGATTTTAATCCCATGAGAAGGGTCTGAAATATACATTGTCAGATACATGAAAAACTGAATGCAAATTTTTACAAATTTGGGAGCATTGTTAATTGATAAGCAACTAACTCAATTAGTATAAAGATTTCGGAAGGACCAACAAATTTTGGTGATAACTTTCTTGGCTTTAGACGTGAACTCTGATAACCAATTTACTTTACATACTTTTGACATAATTATAATTTATAAATATAAGTCAAACTATTTTTTAAGGTTCAGACTTGTAATGTACAAATATAAGTCAAACTATTTTTAATATGGTTCCTAACATTTTCCGGAAGTTTCCAAAATTTTTGAAGTGAGATGTATATCTTAATGTAACACCATATTTATAGGGATTACATGTATCCTCTTCAAAATGTTATAATATGTACTTCATTACCAAAATCCACACGACGGGGTAAATAAGTGTTGTGTAAAGGCAACATTTTTATAAGGAAGAGGAAGAGAAAGAGGGTGTTTGTGTTTGAGGTATTTTGTAACCCTATTTTGAGTAAGGTAATTCACAGTCTCTCCCTCTTTGATTTCTTCGCTTGATTTCTCAATTACTAATACATATCATATCATATAATACAAATTAAATAGCAAAACAAAACAATCTGTTTTACAACTGGTTCAATCGCGTTGCCCTCATCCTGTTTGTGAAATTGCTCCATTAAACTCGTTCTTTATGGTTGTGTTTTCGGCATGATTAGCATGCTCCGTTCATCGCTCCGCTCGTTTTCGACGTCGGCGAGGGCGTCACAGCAGCTGGAGAACCACAAGTTTCTCCCTCCGAACTCCTTCCTGGGAAGCTGGGAGGCGCCGCGGGACCCGAAGGAAGCGGAGGCGAAGCTGGCGATGCTGAGAAGGGACTACGCGAAGCAAGTGAAGGAGGTTCGAAAGGAGTACATAAGAGAGATGGAAGCGATGAAGATCGAGAAGGAGCGCAAGGACGAGGCTCGCAGGGAAGCCCTCAGAATTGCCAATGAAGAGCGCAAGAAGCTCAAGGCTCAGGCAGCTCAGCTCAGAGCCCAAGAACGCGATATCGAACGACAACAGTTTCGACAAATGTTGGTATGTTCGTCCAATCCAATTGTTGTTTGGACAAAACTTATATGCAATTCATTATTGGTACAATTTGTTTTTGCCAATGTGCATGGTATATGTTCGCATTAAATATCAGCATAGGTTACTGAGGTGATACTTCAATTTTGATTATAGTACAACGCTAAAAAGACCCATAAGTATGCTTGCTGAAAAGTTAAAATGAACCTGGATTTACCGGCATGTCAATTTGTTTTGTTCATATTTCAATTTGAATGTTTAAGGCTCAATTTCTGGATTTTAATTTCATATTGAACTCTAAAGTTCACTCTTCATGTGTGATGTGTTATGTTTTGTTAGCATCCTGTTCTGCTTAATACATTGTTATTTTCTACTCTGTGAAAACAAGTATAAATCTACAATAGGTTTCTGGAGATTTAGGCTTTAGAAAACTATTCTTGCTGTACTTGAGGTTGATTTTAGTGGTAAAGAGCTTAGTCTTGACTACAATATGTGTTCTTAATTTCTCTCTTTGGATACTTTGTTCTTTGTACTGCAATTGTTTGTCAATTGACGAAATATTTAATTTTTTTGTTTGTGCTGCAAATCTGTCATTCAAGTCTGTTATGCAATTGAAACTATTTCTATTGTTTTGCTTTTTTATTATGAATCTGTGCTGAACTTTGATAAAAAAAAATATTGCAATGTTCATTTCATGCTTTTCAGTTAAATTTCTTACATTCATGTCTTTAGCATACTCTTGGGCCATTTCAAAAGCTTTCCAAAAGTCTGCTAAATATGAGCGGTTGTTTCTTTAAAATAAGAGAAACNGCATCCTGTTCTGCTTAATACATTGTTATTTTCTACTCTGTGAAAACAAGTATAAATCTACAATAGGTTTCTGGAGATTTAGGCTTTAGAAAACTATTCTTGCTGTACTTGAGGTTGATTTTAGTGGTAAAGAGCTTAGTCTTGACTACAATATGTGTTCTTAATTTCTCTCTTTGGATACTTTGTTCTTTGTACTGCAATTGTTTGTCAATTGACGAAATATTTAATTTTTTTGTTTGTGCTGCAAATCTGTCATTCAAGTCTGTTATGCAATTGAAACTATTTCTATTGTTTTGCTTTTTTATTATGAATCTGTGCTGAACTTTGATAAAAAAAAATATTGCAATGTTCATTTCATGCTTTTCAGTTAAATTTCTTACATTCATGTCTTTAGCATACTCTTGGGCCATTTCAAAAGCTTTCCAAAAGTCTGCTAAATATGAGCGGTTGTTTCTTTAAAATAAGAGAAACCAAACACGGTCAGGGGCCGTCTTAATTTAGTTTATTGTTATCTTCCATTGAACCAGTTAAAAGAAAGAGCTGAGAAACTTGAAAACTGGAGGATGAAAGTGAAAATGCATGAGGAGAAGAAAGGCGAGAAGAAAGAGTTATTGCGCCGACAAAGTTCAACGTGGATTGATGAAGAGAAACTTGAGAAAAAAGTTTTGGAATCTATTGGAGCTCCACAATTGTTTTGAGGTCTGTGATATCTTGTTAGTAGAATTTAGTCCTATGAAGCACCCTCATTAAGATATTTCTTGCATTTATAGAATTACATTCTAGTTTTTACCCAATGATATTTTGGGGATATTCAGTGTTTGGTTTTGGGATAAAGTGTTTTACTCAGCATTACAATATTAAAATGCATTGATATTGAATCTATTCTAGTGGCTAATAATTGTCAACTGGCTTCATGTACAACGACTTAGTATGGTAGGGAAACTATAATTGAGATCCTGGTTTGGCCTTATTGAGGTGATTTGTTGTTGATAACACAAATTTGGTGATCATGGTATATGCCAGAATGCTATTACAAACTTTAAATGAAAACCGTATGCACTGGTTCAAAACCTTCACTTATTTGATATTTATTGATTTGCCATGGTGAGGTTGAGATTGTACCTAGGCTTTGGTTTTCCCTTGACAATTGGTTTTCATTAAAAGTATTAAGAAAGTATAGTTGAGACTTAAATACATTATTTTTTGTATCTGTTTCATGCATTTGCAACTTTGATCTCTATAAAAATTTAATAGTACATTTAATCTTCTATTTTTTCAAAATTAAGCAAGTCTAGTCTACTGGTTAGATGATATATATGAATGTTAAATCAAAATTGTATTAAAAGACTAAAAGACTAAATATTCTATTAAACTTTTACAGGATAAAAATTTCATATCGTTGCTATTTTATATATAGCAGGTTCTTCATCTACTGCAGTTTAAAGAAAAAGCCTAATGTATATTTAATTCTTATAACGATGACAATTATTACTTTTATTTTTGCCCTTATTATAAAAGCAACGAGCTTAATTTTTCAATTTATCCGTATGCACTTGGCCAACCGAGTAGAAAGAGAAGCTGAAAAAAATGAAATATAATTAAGGATTTCATGAATATAAATAAATATAAAAAGTATTATTATATAAAAGATAATGTATGGATGATGCAACTTAATTGCTAAACCGTCGCTATGACATCTTTAAATAAGAGAACCGAGTAGTGAAACACAGATAAAGATCTATTATTTTGTTGAAGAGAAAATAAAAAAGAAAAGTTTTTTTAAAAATTTAACTTTTTAATTCAATTTCGTATATATTATTTTTATGTAATTTGTATTAATTATTTAAGGATTAGTGTGAATTAATAATTTATATTAACTATTTTCAGTTAGAACTTTCTTAATTATGTCACTGCATAAAAATATAACTAAAATTGAACTGTATTAATTTCATTTGATTCGATATTCAATAGCTCAAATTAAACTAAACTGGAATTTGAATCCAGATGCATGTTACTTCTAATATTTTACGATAAAAAAAACACTCTAAATGATCAATAACTATACAATGTTGCTGCATAG